ATACTTCGAGATTCTGCATCAAAGTTACGAGAGGAAGGCAAACACAATTGAGTCTTTTTCCAATCGGACGATTGCCAACTAATTTAACGTTATGAATGTTCTAATGTCCTAACATTTCTTTATATTCTGCATTTAATGCACAAAAGAGGAAAGTTGTTCTCATAATGCTAGAGCCCAGGTACAAAATACTGCAGCAAATTGCAAAAAGACCAGCTCAGAAAATTCTAGCATTGGCAAGTGCAGGGAGTTGATACGCTTTCTACCAATAAATGTATTTGATCTTATTCATATATTTCAGACAGCCAAAGGAACACTCTCTTTAAAATTATGACGAAAGTTTTTTTTTTAGGACGCTATAGATCTATACCTACACTACCTCAAGAATGAATAGCAGTGGAATGGATAAACAATATCCTCCCACACGTACACCAAAATTAAATTATAGTAATAAAAAAATAAACCGCCCAACTACTAAGTTTTATACAAACTAATATCATGTATTTCTAATTAGAATATTGACGATTAACCCACATAAATGACAGCTGTTGCCAATATAGAAATATTAAATAACCAAAATGTACATTTACTAATTTGTTCAAATTTCACATTACATTGAATTCGTATCGTAACATTTATCATAAATATTGATAATTTAAAGCTGATTTATTATACTCCTGTGTAACATTATTTATCCGCTATTTTTTTTGCTCAAAATATATCGTAATTATACACGGAAAACTGAAACTAGTTAACAGTTAAAACTAATGCACTGGGATGTAAATAAAGACGGGTTGGGAATGGATAAGGGAACCTGGGAATGAGGCGACGGGATGTGAGAGTAAAGGGACGGAAACGAAGCAAGCGTGGTGGGAAAGGGCATCGGGAGAAGAGGTGTAAAAGTTTCTCAAATCAATTTTTACTTGGTGTAAAGGGGAGCGAATTAGGAGGTGATCGAAATGAGAAGGCAGCTGGAATCAGGGACCCCTGTTAATCCACTCAGTATAGCGCTATATCTCAACAATGTTTCGGCAATATCTTTAGTCTCAAAATGGTGACTGCGGTTTATACAATATGAAAGTTTTAAACAGTATCACATGTGGAACCGGAAATGCCAACCCTTCCGTAGTACCTTAGTTCACATCCGGTTTATGTAGGGGTTTGTGTTGCACACAATTTAATGTTTTTTTGTTTGTTCGTCTTTTGTTCGTTTTTTGCATATTTGCCTTGGTGTTGTCAGTTTTTCTCAAGTTCGACTTATGAGTTTTGAGAATGTTTCAATATTTGTTAAATGTCCAGAGAGCATGACACACGAGGCTTTGAATTTACATACTCATTCTGGCTGGACGTGGATGATGCGTATTTATACACCCCATGCGACCAAACAGTTGCCCCTTTTCTTCATGGCTTTAACAACTGGATTGGGGAAGTCCAGGGATGATAAGAATTTTATCAGAACGAGCAAAAACATTCATGATTTGAAGACTAACGCGTACAAAAATTCGAGGTTATATTGACACAAAGATTGTATAAAATGAGGACTCACTGTATATTTCAAAAGATAAATGCAAAAAATAAAATATATAGCAGCTGTTTCATAATACTAGTAGTCGGTCAAGGTTATATGTACTTACTGTACATTACGTAAAGAAACATTATATCGTATACCTTGCGTTTACAAATAGTGTTGCAAGCTAAAAACAACTTCTTCTTCTTAGTATTTTTCTTCTTCATATGAATATGATCTATAATGTTCTAAATTCCACGTCATTTGGTATTTGGTGAAGAGTTGTCTCATTAGCAATCATACCACATCTTCTTATTTTATGTGTATTGCAAAGTCAATTGGTATATTTATCAAAAATTTGAATCATTTTAAGTAATCTCTATGTAATCTCTTTTTTTGCAGCCATTTTGTGTGGTTTTCCGGATCTTATAATTTCTCTCAATATCGTTTGTCTTTTTTTATTTTCCATTATTGAGCAGTTTTTATGGTGATAAATATTTTAAAGTGAGTGTTACGTTTATCTGACCACCAATTCATAGTTAATTACATAAAAGCAATAATTTATCTCACACGGGACGGACGAGCGACATAAAGACGGACAAATGTACAGACTCAGAAAACTTGATGCCCTCCTTTCTGTAGTAGAGGGACACCCAGTTACAAAAGTGTTATTCTTTTTGGCAGATGTAACCGTTTCTGATCTATACTAGTGCAACAAAGGTATGAAGCTTTAACTATGTAAACAGCATCATGTGTCACAGATACAGAGTAACATTAAGAATAATCCCCCAAGTTTGTAAAACATAGTAAATCGATTATATTTAGTATAAATCATAAATGATTCATTGAGATTAAATTGTGACTTTATGATGTTTCATTCATGTTAAATGGATTGTATTTTTTTTCTGAGGGACTTAGGATAAGACTTTACGGTAAGAAATACATGTAGTACAGTTAAATGTCCTTTTTATGATTGAAATGATGCTCCAGGTTTTCTTTTCCATTCCTGTGTTTACAAAGCTCCAAGATTGAGTAATGAGAATCGTATATATTAAGAAAAGTATACATGACCCAGCTATAAATGTAAGAAGGACACTAATTACTTGACCAAAAGAGAGACTGAATATCAAAGGCCTTAAAACAACGAATCCATAACATTTCACATAGAACTAAAGATTGAGCAACGGCGACCATACTACACAGTAAATCTGACTTTGAACTCGTATCTCGACAGGTAAATAATTCATTCCCAATAGCAATATATCTGACCCTTGTGGTGTTAAAATAATGAAAATTGCAGGTAAATTTCGCTTTTCTTTTTGTTTCCTTAAGATTCGATGTTGGCAGGCTGTTGACATATTTTTCGTCTCAATACTAGTGTCTATGCCGTATTATAGGGGACACTACTTAATTCACAGTAGATACCTTCTATTGATACGTGGACAATATTATAGAAAAACGACATTTAAGGGACGACCATGCTTTTACTGTGTAGTAGGGTCGTCATTGCTCAATCTTTAGTAGTTCTATTTGAAATGATATAGATTCGTTGTTTCAGTATCTTTTGTACTTTGTTTTTCTTGGTGCTTAACTGAATGAATGAATGAATTGTATTTCTCATTAACTACAAATTACATAGTGGCAGAGAATATACATATACGAATCGGGCATAGTGCAAGGCGATTTGGTGCCACGATATCTCAGTAGCATGAGTTCGAATCCCGGCCAGGGAAGAACAAAAAAAAATTGCTCCCGCAAATTTACAGATCTAACATTGTGTGGCTGTTATTTAGACGAATTATGTATACAGAATGTGTGTTCAGCCTTGTATCACCATTACTTGTGATCCGATGGATAAAATCTGTCGTAGAGTTGTCACTGGTTCAGATGTACTTATATATATATATATATATAACATTGAGGTAAATTATATGGCCTTCCAAATACAGTTTCGATTCCTAACATCACTGAAGAGACATTAATTGTCGAAATCCGGATATGGTGTACTAATTTTTTCACCTTTTGTTTGCGGTATACCATCTTTTCCGCAAGTTTATTGTTTTCTGTTTGGTATTAAATTAATAGTTAAGATCCATTTTGTTACATCTGGTGAACCGTTTATTTGGCAGTCGCCAATGGCAGTCAGCAGGGTTTAAGAACATCCGTTGTTCGACCTGCTATAGTCAAATGCGTTTTGTTAAAATATACTTTTTCAATATCCCAATAGCATGAGTTCGAATCCCGGCGAGGGAAGAACAAAAATTTGCTTCCGCAAATTTGCAGATGCTGATATTTAGAGTAATTATGAATATTATATGTGATTTCAGCCGTGTATCACCTTCAGTGGAGTTGTCACTTGTTTAGACGTACTAAACAATTACATTATATATTAAAGCACATGTGAACAATACAGACATACATAATTGAATCGCAAACTATTTTTTATAAATCTACATAGTTTTTTCAAGAACAGTATAGTTACCAAGCTCATTAAATGTGGAAATTTATATATATTTGGACAAAAAGTACAATAGTGTGGTAACAACCTCTTTTTGTCTTTATTTAGAGCATTATACGACATAATAATGATATTCATCACCGATGTCTCTTGATTCGCAAAGATGACACAACCTATCATTTCTGGATATGTTGTTCCACCTTGATACCAACCACATATTGACTAATAAGATAAGTCTTCGAATTAGTTTATAGGGTGTTGTGATATCAGAAGCGGCATATACTGCCCTATAACAGACGAACGATTAATCTCTACTATTCATGAAAAAATTAGAGAAATTCAGTATTTTAAATTATAACAATCTGTTTGAATAAGATAATTATATAAACGAAATAACTTAAATCTCTACTTTTTAGTCCATATTGGTCTTTGGAATTGGTTTTATTATAGTTTCATCCTTCTTTCTATAAACATGATGTACAGTATCGCTTTGGTATCTTTAACTTGTTTAAATATGATTGTAATCGAATTTATACAGCTTGACTCGCATATTTTTCAGCTTACATATTATATCATAAAACTTTTGATTTGTTTCAGGTCGTTTTAATTTATTGATTTGAAGCATGTTGTAAGTAAGGGTTACTTGAAAATCATATTCTTCAGGTGAAGTTTATACTCGATAATTCACTGAGAAATTTATACATTCTCAAGTAGGCTAGCATCCAGAAACCGTTCACATTCAAAGAACGACATGTACACTTTTTTTTATTTTATTTTATGGATACTCATATCTGTGAGAGTTGGCAAAACTTTCATTTGAACCCCCACTAACTGATTCCGTCACCAGAAGGTTAAAATAGAACACTTTCCTGAGAGTTTTTTTTACATGTTTTGCATACCTTTAATAAGGGGAGATAACCAATTACTTAGATGAAAATTTTCTTCACAGAAACTTGTGTGACAATATAATCAAGCTAATTTAACCTTTTATATTGACTATTTGATTTGCATCGATTTGGTATGTTTGTTTTGACTCTATGAACTAGGCGTGGTTTGAATGTCAATTGAAACATATCGTTGTAAATAAACATCCAATTGATATTTATGGCGGATTTTTTATCCATAAAGAAGATATGTATACATAGGTAAGGTTATAAATTTTCTTTAAGATTTGATGTTACTCTGAGTGCTGATGAAAGGCTGTTGTCAAGTTTTTCGTCTCATTTCTAGTGTCTATGTCATATTCAGTCTTAGGGGTCTTACTTTGTCACAACTGATAACTTCTGCTAATACGTTGCCATAGGAAAGACAAGACATTAAATTTATCTATTTCAGCTTTTATTTCATCTGAAAAATCCTGTAAAAGTCCCGTTTAGCTTTTTAAATTTAAAAGACAAAACAAGAAAAAGAATCGAGTGCATTTACCCTTTTTTAAGTTTATTTACTAGCTTTTATAGTAAAATTACTCTCTGTGTAGTTGATTTTACTAGAACGGATAGTTATTACAAGGACGATTAGGTTGCTTGCTTATCTAGTAAATTATACAGTTTTTTTCTTTTCTTTTGACTACATAACGCAATATGCGTGATGTTTATCGAAATATCAAATTTACTATGCTATTTCACTATCTTTTAAAATTTGCAAATCTGTGTGATGCATATCGAAATATCAAATTTACTAATAAGATCTACAATTGTCTTTTAAATATGCCAATCTGTTAAAATGAATAACACAAACTATTTGTTTTGATAAACTTGAAAAGGGGTCAATAACTTGAAAAGAGGTAGTAGCTTTGCTGTTGGACTATCAATAACTTGAAAAGAGGTAGTAGCTTTGCTGTTGGACTATCAATAACTTGAAAAGAGGTAGTAGCTTTGCTGTTGGACTATCAATAACTTGAAAAAAGGTAGTAGCTTTGCTGTTGGGACTATCAATAAATATTAAGAACATCACTAAATGAGACTCATTACCGCATTGGTATTTAGCGGTAGCAACATGACGGGTGCCACTGTGGAGCAGATCTGTTTCGGAGTACCTTTAGATCACACCCTTGTTTTGATGGGGTTCGCGTTGCTCAGTCTTAATTTTTCAATAGTTTTCTATGTATTTTGTGAACTTCTTTGTTTTTGTCGTCTTTTGGTTTTTTTGCCATGGTGTTGTCTGTTTCTCTCGGATTATGAATTGAAGGTCTCCTTATTATATTATCTTCCGCCTCGTTTTGAATAAATAAGTTTATGTTTTTTTTTGTATACACTTTCTTTCGTAATATTTTAAAGAGCTGACTTGTTCAATTTACATGTCTGACCTTGTGCAACTAACAAAAATTAATACGAACTGCAAAATCATATGATTTCTATTGAAAACCGCCTGTTTCCTCGTTTCAGTTATATTAGGAATCATATGAGAAATTGTTTTTTGTAATACTCAGAAGTCACGGTAAAGTTGATAAATAAAGACAGACAGGAAACTATAAAAACTATAAATACAACTGGTCATTAAATCTTTCAAAAATTACAATAAATCAGAAACTGAAATCCGCTTTAAAAACCGCATAATTTTTCACAAAATGCATTCCTGTTAAGTTAACACCTAGGTCACAGGTAAAAATTACCAGGACAACGCATTATAAATCTATATAAATTTGTCATTTCCCACTAAAAATACGACAATAGTACACACCTATAGTTTTGATTGATATAAGTTTAACTGCCTCTTGTCTTTGTCTTGTTTAACATGTTAAAGTGACACCTATAGAGAAGGATTTGTATTGTTTACATTAGTAACATATTTGTAAACTTCGTGATGAAATATGGTTAGATTTATCATAAAAATTAGTCATTTTTGAACTCGGAAAGTTCTCTTTCTGTCCTAGCGAGCGAAGGTAATTTTTTATTTTTACATTTATGCATGTACGCCAGCCTTATATATATCCGTTTCTTAACATAATATATTATAAGATTGATAGGATTGTAGTTTTCATCTACTTGAACGTGATACCACATATAATTTGCAATTTTTTAAACTATTAATTCAGGTAATTGTTTTTTTTTATATTATATAGGAGACACTAAGGTTCAGAACCAGGTTTTTTAAAGGAGAACTTACTAATCAGAAATTTAAAAAAAAAAAAAAAAAAAAACGTGTTCTAAACTTTGTCTTTCATACATCAGGAAATTTCCTTCGATGATCAAACTTTTAAAGAATGTCTTGAAATACGTGCACGCACCTATTTTTTTGACAACTATAAATATCTAGTCCGCCTGGTCTACATTAGGCGCATAATGAAAACTTCTATAAAACAAATTCCTCAAAGAATTTTATCATGTAAGTTTTATTAATAGTCCATATAACATATACTTGTTAAACAATATGTATCATCATTCTTTGACCGGCAGTTTGAGTATTCATAATTCATTTGGTTGCACTATTATATTTGTTAAAGTATGATTGCTTAGCCAAATGAAACGGTTAATGAGATTGAATTGACAATTGAAGTTCAAAACGACGATATATTATAAAAAGAAGTGTTTTATGACTTTTAGTCTATTCATGATAATGAAAGAGTGACTCACTATATTCATTCAATTGTTTTATATATGTGTATTTAACCTATTTCCATATATTATAGTATTGTCATGTTTGTAGTTGTCTTACCACGCCCTACCAACTTCCAACTTTTTTATGGCACATTTTGATTACATTTCAATGTTCATCTTTATCAAATTGATGTGCGTTAAACGTTCGTAAAAAGAATTAAAAAATCCAATTTTTTGGTCAGTTACGGTCACCGTGATAAACTTTACATGCATATTCTGACTCCTATAATACAAAAAGTCAATTTGCCCATCGCCTAGTTTCAATACCATAATTATCAATACCATTAGTATCAATGTTCTGAACTAACTCAGTAAAGGAGTATTCTTTCCATTTACATGTTACAAGGCTGGTTGGGATAATATTTTTTGTGACCCGGCTGATTTAAACCGAGTATTCGACAGGTTTTACATTGAGCATCATGTATCATGTATATACGCAAAAACGAATTAAAAATGCAAGAATATATTAAAATAGAAATAAAGCAAATAGATGAATACCGCTTTAGAACTTTGTTTTTTTTGCAAACAAATTTACATAAAGGCGCTTTTAGAAGGCTCAGAATACATGTACTTGTAGTTGAAACTTTTCACTGTCATGACTTATGAATTTTAAGTTATTATATACGTTCCATATCGGCTGTATGTGTTGAGTTTTGAATACTGTTGTGTTTTGTAGTCTGTCAGAGGCGGATTTTTTTTTGGGGCGGGGGGTCCCCCTTATGGAGTTACATTTATGGTTAATTCAGACTTTTTATCTGTTCCACTCCAAAGTTTGTCTAGTTTGATGCCCGACCCCCCTCCCCCTTTTTCAAAATCTTGGATCCGCATCTGTCTGTTATTTGACTTTTAATCGTTTGCCCCCTTCTTGCCATGACATTGTCATAGAAAAAAAAATGCTATGGGGTATCCATCAATGACACAAAATCAGTACATGCACAACAAACAAAAAAACACAAAAAGCAAAGGAACCGCGCTTTTATTGCTGTTCTTCGTCTCAAAGTAACAGTGAGGTCTTCAACACGGAGCAAAAAAACTCTCTCTTTGTTGATATTGTATTTCAATCTCAATATTTAAATTGAGATGTAGGGCAAATGTAAATGCCCTATGACAGCAACCTAACGACCTGAGATCAACATACGTCAGACATAATAAAAGTTGTGAGTAAAGATAACAAAGACTCAGATCTATCATCAACATAATTCTGTATGTGATAGAAATTTAGAATCAAGACGAGGTTTCGGACTTAACTTTATACGGTGATCTATAGGTGTCCTTTGGTTATTATTGTTGTTGGTTTTCTGTCTCATTCGCGTAAACAAAGGCATTTAACTCTATAAGACTAGTATAATAAACAACAAAAAACACAAACACCATATAGTAAGGGAACGACCATTTAACTTCAAAGGGGGTGGGGGTGGGGGATAATGGTGGGGGGATGGGGGTGGGGGGATGGGTTTTTCCTAAAAAAATATTCTGATCCCTAATTTGATGAAAAAAATTATTGTGGTCAAGCAGATGACAAAAAATAAAATTCTGACTCAGACAAAAAAAACATAACCCCACCGCCCCCACCCCCTTGAAGTTAAATGGTTGTTCCCTAAATATCTAGCATCAAATCGTGTCATCGTACTCTCATATGTTTATTTATATTTCAATCAAAACATAAAATTATTTTACCATTTGAATGTAATTATTATAGTTTCGTGATGTAGTTGAACGCAAATGACAATGAAAATGTCGTCAATAAAATGAACATGAAATAAGGATATTTAATAGGAGCTAAGATATATTTTGACTTCATCGACAGGTAAGCAACAATGAATATTATTCAGCGATCTTATGGGAATCTCATTTCATTTCTAAAGAAGATTCAGAATTTAGAATGGAAACGGGGAATGTGTCAAAGAGACAACGACGCAACCAAAAAAAGCATAAAACAGCCCAAGGCCACCAATTGGTCTTCAACACAGCTTGAAAATCCAACACCCGCAGACGGGCTTCAGCTGGTTCCTAAACAATAATGTTTACTAGTCAAGAGAAATGGACGCCACACTAAACTCCGTAACATACAAATGACCCAAAATAAAAAAAAAAAAAATAAATTAAGCAAGACCAACAAAAGCTAGTGGCTCCTGACTTGGGACAGGCGCAAAAATGCCGCTTTTGCATTAATTGCTGTATGTTGCAAGCAATCATTTTGTTCAAGTTCTAGCTTCGGTCCCTGCTTGGAAATTGGTTCTATTGATATAATTTCTCTAGTTCATATCTATTTATTTTTTTGCACTGTTTATATTTACTATTGATCAAAATGTTCTTTTTGTCTAATTGTCAGGATTTTTTTTTTATGGTAAATCATATTTTTTGTAGACTATTTTTTGTGATATGTATACATTAGTATATATCAAGCCAGATTTTACAAGTTGGTTATTTCTAAAATGATGTCTTTGTTTAACATATTTACATTATGTTTTGATATTCAAATGTAAACACCTTGCCCCAGGTTGATTTAATGGAAAATGAAGTTGATATTATGTAGACTTATCTGCTATCAATACCAGCAACAGTTGGTAATAGAGGGTGTGGATGTGGGTTCACAGAATAGAAAATAATGGGTAAAAATATATAGAATAGAGAAAAATGGACCAAACAAATAAACAATAGAGAATAATGAGGTGCTTAAATATAAAGAATAGAGAATAATGGGGAAAAAGAATAAAGAATGGAGAAAAATGGTATAAAAAGCTAAAGAATGCAGAAATGAAGGGCCCCATCCAGACCCTTTGTAATAGTCAGTGGTATGATAATAGATATGAGGTTTGAATGAAAGTCATATATTTACACACGAGTTCAGTTTCTCTGTTTCTTTTTCAATATATAAGCTATATGAGATGCTGAGCGTACACACATTTTGACGGTTTAAAATCAAGAAAGACAACAAAGCCAGTGGCGTAGCTAGGCCATTTTAAAGTGTACGCCCGAACCTCGAGTGGTTTGGGGTCCGCTAAGCTAATCCAGGACAGAAGACCTCCTGCCCCCCTCCCCCCCCCCCCCACCCTGAAGTTCACGCATAATTGAGAAAGAGATCCCAATATCTGTTATTAAAAACTCACCAATTAAGAACAAAACTTTACGAAAAAAGAGATGATTTCAGCTTCCCAATTGTGATTTTTTTTCTATGTAGCAACATTCCAGTAACACCTTTATATGGAGTATATATCTCCCAGTTAACGTTGATAAGATATTCCAGAGCTTGCATTTCCTATCATCATGTCCTTGATAGAGGGTTGCTGCTTACAAAGAAGGTACTGAACCAAGAGTTCTAAGTTTTCCAAGTTAAAATCATCCCTTCGAAAATTTTACGGGTCGACATACTGAGTAGGTTGACCGTTATAGAATATCTGTTTCACAGATTGCTACTGACGACGGATATGTTCCAATTGTTGATAATACCACAATCCCGTCCTCTTTTTCTACCGAATCAGACTTATCACTGGGTTTGTACTTACATCAGCAACACGATGTGTGCCACAAGTAGAGCAGAATTTGCTTACCCTTCCGGAGTACCTGAGATCACCCCCAGTTTTTGGTGGGGTCCGTGTTGCTCAGTCTTTTGTTTCTAAGTTATGTTTTGTATACTGTTGTTTGCCTTTACACTCAAATTTCGTTAATGGACACATGTCCTAATTAATTTTCATAGATGGTCAGGTGTAACGTAAAAATAAATACTGAACTGTAACATAAAAAAAATGTAAGCCATATTGTATCTCAGCAGATAATGAATTGCTTTTAACAATAGTAAACTTAGTAGAATTCTCAGTAGATTCAGACTTTGACAGAAAATGAAAAAAATATATAATATAAAATATGAAAACAGCACTTTATTAATTTCATGCGTCCGAAACGCTTTTCTGGATTTACCTTCATCAGGAATTTTTCGAAAGCTGAGCTGTATGACAAAAACTTGAGTACCTAAAAAAATAATATGATACCATTTGATTAAAAAGTAACTTTCATCACTTTGTCTTTTATCTTCAATTACAATTCATCGAAGAAAGAATTACAAGGCTCGTGTGCTTTTAATAAGTTCTTTTAATTTATTTGGGTTAAAATATGTTTTTTTTTCAAAATTTATGTGCACACCCGGGCGTTTTGGCGTAAACGTAGCTCCGCGCATGAAAGCTATGGTTAATTTAACAAAGGTAAACCTCAACAAACATAATGTGTGTAACCCCAAAATACCTTTCAAAAAGTTGCTTGATCGCCTTTCATGCTTGTAAGTTACTGCATTATAAAGATTTTTGACGGTTCATATTGAAAAATTAAAAAAATTCTATTTATGAATAATTGCTATAAAATACATGTAACTTGTATATATATTGCATGTCCATAATCCTATTTTAGCTGTAAAACTTGTTTTAATCAAATGTCAGTGCATGTACCGATTTATACTTGTTTATTCAACTATTATTAGTAAAATAATCAATTACTAAATTAACAGTTGATAAAGTAAGAAATTATCAAGAAACAAAGGTTCCAACTTTCTCAAGCAAAGAATTTAACTATTCTTTGTATGACCTTTTTTGGTCATATATTTACTTATAATGGGGCTACGTATATTTATATCACGGGCTGTCAAATGTTAAGGTTTGAGCGTTCCTGGTGAAGATTAGGTAGCTACCATTTGATTTTTATGGGGAGGGGGCTAGGATGAAAATTTTTGTCCTGCATTTTTTTTAAGTTTAGATCTCTGTCCTGCCTTTTTATTTTTCACTCTATTCGGTCCTGCATTTTTTTTATTAATTTATCCTGACTTTTTTTACATAAATTGTCATCCTGCCTTTTTGTTTTGCCAAGTGCTCATCCTGCCTTTTTTTTACTCAAAACTCCTGTCCTGCCTATTTTTTTCAAATTTCATCTTAGCGCCCCCACCCCCCCCCTAAAAATCAAATGGTAGCTCCCTTAATCAAGAAAATCGCTTCGGACAAATAACATTTATAAAGTGTTATTATTCAATCACCAGTATCATTATTTTGATGTTCCATTACTTTACGGATAAGAAGCAAATTATAACATCGAAGTCGATCGATCCTTCCATTGAATTAATCTTTAAAACATTTACAGGTTAAACATGCATTTATCATTTATTCATTAATGAGTGTTCATGGGCTTCGTTCATACTCTATAAATAAAAAATATATATGTGCACGAAACATTTCATTCCGTTTTATGAATAAGAAGAAGCATCATAACAAAGCTAAAAGAGAACTAGTTTATTGATCCAGCATCCTCTGATCATCCTCTACCCCTCGATCAATGTTTGTATCTATATTAAATGCTACAGTCCACGTCAACATTAACCTTTCCTATCAGGCACACCACACCTAGGTGCGATCAAGTTCAGATGTGTTCTAGCATACTAAATTAAGTTATTCTTAGCAACAGTGGTCATAAATCTATACATCACCATCATCTACTTTTCTTTTCAGATTCAAATCATGGCGATACTGGACGTACCGTTACTTTTTTGTGGCTACACATTTTGCACAGGTAAGATTTTTACAGGTGAAAATTCAATTGTACTACAATTGCATTTTGTTTTTTCTACGCATCTGAATCAGAAAGCAATTGACTTGATAAATAGATCGATACCGTTTATCACCTTATAACAAGATTGTATTAATCTTCATTGATTTGTATTTAATTTTCCCACTGCTACTGTCTAACATGTATTACATTTTTGATGTGATAAGTAAAGAGAGGGGAGGGTGACTTGGAGATCTGATGCCAATTTCCCAAATCCCTCTCTTTTGTACTCAGTATCCACCTTTTCCTCTTTTTTCCTTGTTCCCATATTGTTTACCCCTATATCCCATATCTACAAGTGTGCTATTCCTCTCAGTAAAGGCACGTGATATCAATTCTACTAATACTTTTTTTCTGTCGTAAACCTTTATATGTTACACTTTGGAAAACACAAGTGAATGTCCAAAATTAGTAATTTTTAAATACGATAGTTTTTGTTTGTGGAAAGTTCTCACATAATCAAATAATTCCCCCGCCTAATGAATTCTCTTAACGACTGGTTTACGTTCAGCGGCAACTATTACATGCTAATTAGGTCGAGAATGTGTAACAGTGCTACATGAATATAGGCAGCCTTATTTGTACTAGGCCGATACACTGCATGGGTACACGTAAAGACAAGTGATCCTACCCACACACATTATTCTACCTCAGTGTTAGTTTCTGCTATATTATTCCTATGAATACGACCTGCTTATCGAGGATTTTTAAAAAGAAAGTTTCACTTTAAGGCACTTTACTAACGGAGACGGGAATTTGGGGCTGATGTATTCACCCTTGAAAGTTATTTCTCTTTGCATTATTATATACTAGTAAACAAAAAAAACGTTACTAGGCAATGTATTTTCCATATATAATGAAATTGGATACACTGTACCAAGGTAAATATGTTATTTCAAAAATCGTATTTTCACCCAAAAATTCAAAAATCGATATTAGAACTTAAAACTTTAAACTTAAACATGGTCTGCTTAAAATCTTGAATACCTTTGCATATATTTGAATACTTAATTATCATCTTCGAAATTAAGTGCCGACTTTTGTCATCATTATCCGCAAAATGAATTTGACCCCTGTGTTCAATAACACGGTATTTTCTCACTTTCCAGTTTAGTCAGATTCTTTTAATCATATGCATTTGCTTTGCAAATGAATGTTTTTCATTGGATAATTTAACAGTTTTTCCTTTTTATTATATTTTATGATAAATTGGAGTTCAAACTTGTGTATCGTTACTTTTGTTGACTAGTATACATAAGTGGATATATATGGCTGTAAATTATTTTATGAAATACTTACATTTTTAAAAATGTTTGCTTGAACTTCAATTTTTAGGCATACAAAATATATTAAAACTCTTCAGTTATGTAATAGGGATGTTCAAAGGATCATAGTAATTAAGGGAAAAGATTCGAAAAGGATGCATGAATAGAGTAACAATAAATTGCCTCTCAAATGAAAGGATATTGCTTTTGAGATGAAACATTAGCAAATAGAATGTAACCAATGAAAGGAGCGTATTGCTTTTCAAAGTGACATTACTTTGTAACAAAGCTACAAGTCCGCTGTATTAGGATTCAATGATATTGATCGCCTTAAAATAGGATACTATCATAATAAAACTATCAATCGATAGGAGTTAGTTGTGTTTTGCAATATTATTTTACATTTATTTAAGATTAAATTAAATTTAAAATCAACTATAAATTGATCATGTTTGATATGAAAGATATATACAAACCAAAATAAGTGAAAATTCAAACTGTGCATAACCACGGAAATGTATGGACTTAAATAGTGTGTTACAAAAAAATGTCTATGAAATGTGTTATGGCAGGTCTGTGTAGGTAGGGAAGCAGGAAACATTGTAATGGGCATATATATTTACATTTTTGAACATTTCAACGAACTGCTTTCAAAGTTAAAGTGAACTCTGTGAATGTTTATGTTTGGACAATAAAAATTCGTCCAATCTTACTTTGGAAACCAGTAGTCAAGATACACTACGCTTATATTGATTTGTAATCCAATAAAGAAAATTTTATGGTTTTTTTGAACTAAGTGTAACAAAGTTAGTTTTCTTTTTTTTTCAGTTGTTCTTTTATTATCTCAGACTACAGCAGAAAACAATTCCACCATTACAGCAGAAAGCAATTCCACCACTACCATATCACCAACTACTGTGAACAACTCGAGTAATTTGTTAACCACTGACATTGAAGCAACAGAACTGTTTCCATCAAATTATCCATCTTCTTCTGTTTTATCGAACAACTCAGATGAAGTTGTTTCACCATCGTCATCATCCATGTTCATCGATACAACATTAGATTCAAGTATCGATATATCGTTAACTTCAAGTATCGATATGTTGTCATACATATCCTCTTCTAGTCCAGTGAATATAATGGCATCCTCAAACAATCCAACTCAGACAATGTCTTCATCGGACAATCCTTTTGTATCAAGCACACCTAACATGCTATCCTCGAGTGATATTGTTACATTAACAAGTACAAGTGTAAACAATACGAATCAAAATAATCAAAATAGTTCAAGTCAAACTACTGCAGGTTCTCAACCTGAGATGTCGATAACACAGACAACAGACGTTGTCGAAACAAATAGCCCGATGATATCTACAGGACTTAATTCAATGACAAACATGTATTCATCACCATCATCTATGGAATCGTCCACAATAATCGATATAGTATCGTCAGTATCAGATTACCTCAAATCCTCCAAAAGTGAAGGAACATCTTCTATATCAAAAACAGAAAATCCTTCTTTGACAACAGTTGGCAATGGAATGACATCAATACCCATTATAGATGCTTCATCGTCAGTATCAATTAATTCATTGAAATCAGAAATGGAAAGCAGTTCGGTAACAATAGTATCAGTTATTCAAAGTGCTACCCATAGCAACATAGTTTCAATACCTTCCCTAGATATCATACCATCGTCAACAATTACTCAAACCACCAGTAGTTCTAATATTCTAGTATCGAGTTCAGTTTTACCGACGACTTCAACGACGACAACAACAACAACTACGACATCCACAAATGCACCTCCATCAACAACGTTAGCAGACGACATTCAGTCATCAATTGGTAGGTTCTTTTTTTGGCAATATGTAAGTAGCCTTTAAATCAGGTATTCAAGGCATTAATTCAAAGTTTGTTCTTGCGTCTATTGTTTGACGAGCTATATAATCATACGACAAAATTCCGAACCAGCTATGGTTGTTTCACATATACATGTTGTCATTGAACACATGCTCGACTCACATGATGAATAGAATACAGTCTTTGTGTAAAAAATGTCCTGTTTTAAATTATGTATTGTACGAAAATTAATGTTGCAATTATGACCTTAGACAGTTTTGGCTGATTAATTATGGACTTTTGGTTTTTGTTATATTTGCTAACGTTTTCAGTTTTTACCAAACTTTTAGTAGTACTGATGAAGCAAACGTCAGAAAAGTGCGTACGTTAATTGTGCGGATTCATGGAAATACGTATCATTCTGTTTTTTTTACAATCACTTGCTCAGTACCACTGCTGGTGAACTACCAGTCCCAAAAATTTATTTTCCACCAAGTAGTCAGTGCTTCAGTTTAAATAAAACTAAGTCCACCTTCATTGGTATCGATTCAATGGACAGCTTTTTTGACGATTCGTGTTAGGTCCCATTTGACAAAATAGCTCCACAAGTATTTATACATCCTTGGCTTTCAAATTTTTGGTTTGGAGCGTGCTGACGAATGTTAATACAATGTACAAAAAAAGAGCTACGGACGCACGAAATTTACGAATGTATAAAGTGTTTTAAATTCAATTTTCAGGCACTGAGTGGATACTGCTGCCGGTGGACTGTTAATTACCGTTGCCCCAAGGGTATCATAATTCGAGTAGTTAGTGTTTCTCCGCTAACATGATTAATAACGAATATTTCTTAAAATTTATAAGAAAACAAAGGTTGGAACAATATGGTTTATCAATTATTTGTACATCCCCGGCTTTCAGATTTGTGTTTTTGAGCGTTACTGGTGAAGTTTAATCAGAAACAGTACTCAATCGGACGCACATAATTTATAAAGTGCTAATATCATTCGTTACATGTAACAATATTTTATGTGTCGTCTGTTCACAATTGACCATAGTAGATGATTATATATGAAAAGGCAATAAAATGAAGGCATTGTTGCCAATATTGATTGATTCATTCATGTATGCTTGACGTCCAGTGGCAAATATTTCATGCATTTTCACGACGAGAAGGAATTAACAGAAAATACAATAATTAAAAACCAATTGTTCAGAGAACAATTGAAGGTCTTTCCACCCATAAAGATCAATTTTGATATAGAACTATTAAAATTCGGTTTAAAATATCATATCCAGCGTCAAATGATAGCTTATTGTACACTGATTCCAAAAATATATGGTTTCTATACATTTTTTTTCTAAATAAGGGAGATAAATTGTTACTTCCGGTTTGAAAAATGTCACTTCCGGGTTTTTTTTATAGTTTACTTGATACTGATTCCAAAAATATATGGTTTAATATACTTTCACATTAAATATGTACAAAAAAATAGCTACTTCCGGTTTACACATGGTCACTTCCGGTTGGCTTTTCCATGGTCAAGTGGCTTGCAACGTAATGCAAAAAGTCCCATGGCTTTATCATGTATACATATGAGGTAAAAGCAAAGGTCAATATCTAGAACGTCAAATTTACCTATGACCTTGAGCTCAATTTCAAGGTCATAAAACAAGGGCTTCAAATCAAAAGACCATAGGTCTTAATTATATATGGTTAGTGAGTTATATCACTATATGCCTAATTTTTAATATAAGAGGGGAGAAAACTCCAATTTAATGTTAGTGTACCCTTTCAACCAAAATTTATGTGTTACGACATGTCGCAACTTAGAATTTAATAAAAATATGTTGTCGATATCTTATACGGTTTTTGAATGGAATTGAAAATAAGCCAAAATCAAAATTTAAAATATGACCTTGACCTCTGACCTTGACCTTATTTTCTTTTTTTTGGACCAAGGACCTCAAATCAAAAGATCCTAGGTCTCTATCACTTATGGTTTATAAGATAGAAATGCATATCACTTATATCAAATGCATAAGGGGAAATAACTCTCATATGGAGTGTTCGTATGGCTTCGGTCAAAATTGGACAAATCATGCGAAGGATATAACGAGCAATTTTATAAAATAAATTTGTCGCTTTCTTATACAGTTACGGAGGAGATGCAGTCACAAGGAAAACAGTGTTCGGGGAGATAACTCCTAAAAAGAAAAGTATTCGGTTACGCAGGGTGAATTTCAAAGGCGCATAAACTGTTCGATATCATATACCAAACATCTAAGCGACATCTGGCGAAACAAAATCTATACGCAAGAAATAAAAGTGGCGGAAGAAGAAAAAAAAAAAAAAATAATAATAATCAGAACAAATACAAAAGGGTCTTTCCACCGAAAAGTGGAAAGACCTAATTATGTCTTGCAATAATGATAAACGGGAAATTTGGAATTCCAAAGGAAAACGAGAGTGTGTTGGATAGGGAATTTAGCATAGGAACAGGTCACCTACGGACCCCTCAAAGAGTTTATTCAAGGGTTCTTATTGTGCATAGAGCGCGACAATCTCACTACACGAGGCATCTGATGAAACGTCCCCATTCTGACCGGACGTAGCTCGCCACAGCCTAACGCCCCCCCCCCCCCCCCCCCACACTTTGACCAGGATTCTACTGTAGGCAGGAAGAATACCTTCCAATACCCCAGTCACCCTTGGGGTCATATTGCCGAGAAAACATAATATAACAATCAGGAGATGTGGTATGATTACCAATGAGACAACTACCCACCAAAGTTCAAATGAAGTGGATGTAAGAAATTATAGTCAACCATAGGGCATTCAACAATGAGAAAAATCCAAACCGTATAGTCGGCTATAAAAGGAACCGACATGAAACAATTAAATATGAAACAATTTAATTGAGAAAACTAACGGCCTATTTATAAGTTTTCGAAAAAAAATATGACGGACATTAACCAACGACAACTACTGAACTACAGGCTCCTGACGTGGGACCGGCCCATAAATAATGTGGCGGGGTTAAACATGTAGACTATTTTCATGGGATAATATATTTACTGTTTACAATTTAGAACATACATAGTATAATAAAAAAATGCAATATACTGTCCTTATATAAAATGTGTCCCTGTATTTAAGATAACAAGTCTTTAGAAATGGAAAATATAGAGAATGGGCTAACCTTAATGCAAAAAGATGTATGAAAAAGGCATTGTGAAACCTATGAGACTGCGATTGAGACTCATAAACGAATTTTTACCTACTATCAGTGAACACGGTAGGTCCCACCAGTGGAGCAGAATCTGCTTACGCTTCCTGAGCAACTCATATACACCCCAAATTTTTGATGGAGTTCGCGTTGTTCAGTCTCCATAAAGTTTCTATGTGGTGTTATGTGAACTTGTCTGTCTTTAAGTCGTCTACAATTTTTTGTCAAGCTTTGTCAGTTTCTCTTGACTTTTGAATGTTCCCTTGGTATTTTCTGCCTCTTATTTCTTCAAATTTTCGACTTTGTTTAATCTTTTATGGACTCATCTAAAATACTTACAGAATATACTACGAAAGTGAACAATAAAAGTTATATCATTTTGTAAAATTCTTTGAAAATCATATACATGAATAAATTAAGTTTTGCTAACTAATCGCTTCATTCGGTGTTGTTGTGCTCAAAATTCTTTTAAAAATAGAGAAGTCAAATACATGCCAATAACAAAAAAGGAAAAACAGATAAGAATTTGAAATAAACGTTTTCTGTTTCAGATGGAAATAGTTTATTTGAAGTTAGCACAGAGTTGGATATCGTATGTGACAACATAAAGAGCGACGAGGATCTAAGGAAATTTGTGAGTACCAATATACATGTAGTATACTAGCTTGATTTTGATTTGACTTGATATCATTGATTAAGAGAACCACCATTGATTACTAGCTTCTAATTTAAGTTCAGTATGAAATATACAGGCGTCAAATAAAAAAACAAAACAAACATGAACACCTGTCCAAATTTATGTACGCCGATGTTGAAAAGGTTTGCAGGCGTACATTTCGTGTGAGAAGCAAGGACGTGTAAATAATTTTTTTTTTGCTTTAAAAGTACTTTTATAAACTCTAGTCATAAATTGTTGTTTTTGCGAACAATTTTCATGACTAAAGGCAAATAAGAATGTCTACCATGATATTCATAAATGATAAAAGGCCATATTGGGTTACCATTTCAAACTTATATTTACTTGTAAATCCAGTATGTTTCAAGTTGTCTTTGGAATGAATAAGTATTATTTTTTTGAAACAAACATATTTCACTTTTTTTTGTTGAATAAGTTTTTTTGTTTGAATTATCTCTGCCTTTTCGAGACTTTCGGTTGTTTTATCTTTTTAACTTTTGTTTAAGGTTTTAGAAGATTAAAACAAATTGTATCGATCATCATTGAAGAAACATTAATCAAGATGAGTTATTTTTACGCGTATAGCCGGAAAACAGAATTGGTACACCGAAATTGGTTGGCTTCAATGATATCTGTCTATGTATATACACCTCTCTTCAAAGGAAGGGGTAGACTAGTTTACCTCTATTCTAACGTCCGTCCGCCCATCTGATTGTTTTAGCCGCTTTCAGCAACTATAAGTGATTCCTTTTTGTTACAATTTATATTGCACATTGATTTTAAAATATGCCATACCGTGTTAAACGTTTTAAGTTCTTTCAATGTTCTATATACTTCGTGTAAGCAGGAAACTTGCATTTTAAAAGAATGCCATCCACATGTATGACATTTTTGTTACATTTTTCTCAGCAACTGCATGTCATATTAGCTTATTGATATATGGTACCAGACTTGTCGTACAATGTGATACGTTTTCTGAACTTCCGAATATCTACTGTTTCCTGAAAAACTTATGTCTTAAAAATGTCTTGCACATATATACATTGTCCGTTACATTCTATTATATACATTAGTCAACACCATTCAACGCGGGTATAACTAATACAACTTATTATTTCACCAATCCTTTCTGGTATCTCTCATGTTTTTCTGTTGTTGTCGCTGTTTAGAATTTAGAATTACCGATATTATTATCATTTTAGATAGAAGATGAGGTACTGCAAAACGTGGATGCAGTTAGAAAAGTTGTTGTTGTTGAGAATGGGTATGTGAAATTGTGGATAATATTTAGATAGAACATTTAAGCATTGAAATCAATCCTCTCCAGCAAGTTTCGGCGATTCTCGGATTTAAAAATGTTTCAGCTTACATCACAATGTTGAGAACGCATATCCACGCTTGTTGCATGGACCCCCTTAAGCATTTTGTGTCGTTTATGCTATTTATACTAGTTTTTCTATAATGTTTCAACTTATTTTTCTTATACTTTCTATGTCATTTAATATTACAATAACATTTGTTTATACTTGCTGCCCCTCTGTCCGTTAAAAAAGAGGAAAGAAAAGGTCCAAGCCCAAAGCACCTGTTCACATAGCTTTATGTTCCGAAACTGTTATATAAATGCTTGATTGTAGATTGCAAACCAGACAATGAATCCGACTTATGTCACTTAATGAATTTACATGTACCATTATTATTATTATTGATGATGATGATGATGAAGATGATGACGATGACGATGACGACGATGATGATGATGTTTGACGATTTTAATAATGACGCGATCTCTACTTTCAGGTGTAAAAACAAAACGAGGAGAAAACGGTATGTACACATATATTTGTATTGTTTGTACTGAAAACTTCCACAATTTAATGAATCTATATTGATGCTAAAGACAAGATACTTGATTAAATGTGATATTTTACACCATCATAATAATAAGGTAACAGTTTTGCTGAATTAATAATTTCAATGATTATACTAAGTTAATATTAAATGACCCAAGAAGAATATTATAGGAGTAACTGATTAAATGCAAACTCTAGAAATTTCTTGTTAAAGAACGGATTGAGGTTAGAAAATCTATATTTTGTCAAGTAGAGGATAAGAATCTTTTTTCATGACAAACAAAATCACTTTAAATCAAATGTATTAACCTTTGTCAGAGTTGTCATTTGCAAAAAAAATGTTTTATTTACAGTGCAGCAAGTCACCTATCAGATGTTAAAATTTCTGTCGATGCCAATACGGCAGCAATAAATTCATCTTTAATCGTAAATCAGATTATAGAGGCCTTTGAAAACAATACCGCATCTAATTTAACTAACGCCAAAGATTTTAAAGTTTCAGGTGAGCTTATCATTACAATACAAAAAATTGCTCGCAAATGTAATTAAAACACATTCCTGATGGTTAATTATTACATTACAACTTTCCTAATTCACCCGTAATATAAAAAGAGCCTGACATGTCTAGTTGTTGTACTTAACCTTAATGTCTTTAATCACTTTGTCTTAATATGTTACAAAATTAATGTGTCAAAGTTTTGAATATGTATGCAAAAATGTCTTATTTAGGAAATATTTTGTCTGTGAAAGGCCAAACTGGATATAAAATGTACTCCTTTTGGCTGCATAACTTTTGACAGTACGGCACGATGATAACACTTTTTCAACAAGGTAGTCCAATTTTGCTATATATGATAGTTATTAGTAAACGATGTCATTTTATACAAATATCATGTTCTAAAAAGTCCGCGAGTTTTCACTGTATCAAATTTACATGTGTATGTTTTGAAGTTCTGTCATATTTCTAAACATGTTGACAACTTATATATGCCCGTTATTGGCTAAGACCTGAAGTTTTGAGTGAATTAACGATTAAAAAATTATACCTTTTCAGCTCTTAGTGCGTTTAGCAATCCATGCAACGCTGGTGTTTGTGATAAATTTTATGGATACCTGTGTACTAATACAAGTCCAACAGAGGCCACGTGCACAAGTAGATGTAAAGATGTAACTTGTTCTAACCATGGAACTTGCAGCACAATAGTAACAGATAATAACATGTTTGGACATCATTGTTCGTAAGTGTATATGTGTTTTATCACCCACGCTGCTCACAATTTCTTCTGAAAATGCCTGTATTAAGTCAGGAATATGACAGTAGTGTATTAAGTCAGGAATATGACAGTCGTGTATTAAGTCAGGAATATGAAAGTTGTTTTCCGTTCGTTCCGTTGTTTGATATATAGTCTAACGTTTTATTTTGTCAGGTGTTATGGTCTTTCCCCTTTTAAAATTTACCTTCGAGTTCGAAATGTTTGTTAAGATTTTTTTCAACATTTCCTTGATGTTTTTTTTATTCCTCTGGTTTTAATCTACATTGTTTAAAATATACCATTTCAATTGATACTTTATAGTGTGTCTTTTTATGTTGTAATGTTACACTACTGTTTCAGGTTAGGGTGAAGGTTGGCGCCTGTTCAAACGTTTAAACCCGCTTCAATTGTATGCACCTGTCCTAAGTCAGGAGCCTGTTGTTCAGTGGTTGTCGTTTGTTGATGTGGTTCATAAGTGTTTCTCGCTTTTTATATAGATTAGACCGTTGGTTTTCCTGTTTGAATTGTTTTACACTAGTCATTTTGGAGGCCTTTATAGCTTGCTGTTCGATGTGAGCCAAAGCTCCGTGTTGAAGGCCGTACTTTGACCTATAATTGTTTACTTTTTACACATTGTGACTTGAACGGAGAGTTGTCTCATTGGCACTCATACCACATCTTCTAATTTATATCTTAAATTTTCTTCTGACAAATTATTGTACATATGTTACTTTTTTTCATATTTCTCAAATACTTCATTCATATAAATTCAGTTTGGCTGTCATCTTTTAATATGTCAACTGGCTTTAATGACAGACTGGCAGAAGAAAGGTACTTGTACTAGTAAATTCTACCTTCTTTTTTGAAGGAAGTCTGGAGTAAGGCTGGTTGGAAAAGTGCATTGAGATATGCAACATCCAATTTTTCAGTTTTATATTCCCAGTACAGACATTTGAGTGTGGCAATTTTCTTTATTTCAGCCGTCATCAACTAAACAGTTAGATGAAAGTGTTATATTTGTCAACCGAAGACAAAGTTTAAAGCAGAAAATGCATTTAGAAATTTGTATATTTCTATCAAAATATTGCGTTGGACAACCGATATAACAAGTTTGACAATGTGATGTTGTATTATATGTGGTTTGAAGACAACCATTTAGAATGATATAAAATTGTGGATCGGCAAAAGGGTTGATAAAATATTTCTGATTCTTGACTCCATAACAGCTCGATTTTCAACATTCAACATTCGATTTTCGACATTCAACATTCGATATTAAACATATGCATTCAACACTCGATTTCAAAATCAACATTCGATATCAACAAACAAAATTTCATTTTCAACATACAAAATTCGATGATTTTCAGCATTCGCTTTCAACATTAATATTTTTTTAAGCTTTCAACATTCAACATTGAATTTGTCAATATTTAATCTTTAAAGAGATTTTTTATGCAAACACATGTCACGTGAGTCTGAAATAACCGTCTTCACGTAAAACTGGAGACTTAAAGATTTGGAAGTCGAATACATAAAACTATTATGAGCATCAACTTACAAGCATCAAAACCGAATGGTATGTAAATACGAAGATGAATTTAGGAAACATCTTTAAAAGTTAACTGCATAAAATTCGAAAATAGTGTTTTGCCATTAATTACGATTCTTCTTTCTTTTCATTACAGGTGTGCAAGCGAAGAATATTATAAATATGAAGGAGACAACTGTGAAGTCCGAAGAATGAAATGGGAATTAGCTGTTGCCATAGCAGCCGGATCAGGGGGAGCAGTTATTTTAATCTTAATTTTTGTTCTGATAATTTGCTGTTGCTGTAAAAATAAAGGAGACAAATATGGGTATGTTTAAAATTAGTTCTTGAATTTATACTTCATTAATTTTAGAATTCTATGAACATTTTAAACACATAAAAGTTTTTTGTTTTAATGAAATAAAAAAAAAATCAGCACATCATTTTAAATATAAAAATAAGAAGATGTAATATAATTGCACACAAGACAACACTCCACCAGGAAAAAAAGGCCCGAGACAGAAACCTATAAAGCGTCTTTAAAATTATTGATGCAAATTTATTGTTTTTTAAAGGAGCATTAGCTGTTAAATTTATGTTCACCGATTTGCTTCAAATTCTCATATTTGGTTTATAACAAACTAAAACGTATATCCAAATTGCAAAAGGTCAAAAACAAGCAATTAACAATACATTGAATCGATTATATGTATTAGCCTTTCGTGTATATTTTAGCCTAGACTCCAACTAATTAACCATCGATATGACCTCCGAAGACTGCCGACGGTCATATAACCCGATATAAACATACATATACATATAGATAGAAAGCGATCACGTGCAATTGGATTTTTCTAGGTCTGTTTGATTTCGTACTGTAGGTTCAAAAGTATATTTACCATCGTTTTTACTTGTATAGGATTTATTTATTTTTGGATCGAATCATTCAACCAAATGATTCATCCTTGTTTCACTTTCAATGTTGACATTCTTTTCCTTTTAATAGCTGAATTCATGCGTAGCCCATCTCTAGCAAAGTGTTGAATTGAAGGTCACATGAATACGGAACCAATGAGGTCGAATTATTCACTTGCAAGTGAATAATTCATTAGCAATGTTTCTTACATTATTTTGAAAAAAATATCAAAACTGGCTGCTAAAAGCAAATTATTATTTTATTATTTCACTCTCATCAATGATTGAACAAAAAAATTATCTTATTCTAATTTTTTCATATAGCTTATGTCTATTTAAATTATCGGTTTTTGATTGGTCTGCCCGAGAGGGTGACATTTGCAAAACTTTCTCTCGCCAAGCCATGGGATAGAGTCTTCCTCGTATTAATCAATTAAGATCTGACATTTTAACGTGAACTATAATTATAACTGTGAGTATTGGCACATTTGAAGGCATCGTTTGATATTGTTAAATTTAGATATGATAGAAGACACAGTTATGAACCAATGTCAGATGTTATGGGAAGACCTGGACCTCCTTATTATAGAAATGACTCTAAAAATCAACAACCTGTAAGTGTATGTGTCTTAATTCAAATAACTTTTATAGTTATAGAGATCATATGTCGTTTATCACGTAGATATTACAAAAAGTCGAGATTGAAAATAATTCTCTTAACCGACTAGCAAATGAAATGAATTTCAAACAGTTGCAAATAAATGAATTTCAAATAGTTGCAAATACAATGATTGTTGACTTGTTTTTTTTTTTTAAAGTTCACCGACTTTCAAAATGAATGTCTCATTGTTTCGATATTATCATGACCATATGAGTGTAGCATATGGTAACAGTTAACCTCGGAACATTTCGGCTTTATTCGTTTTATGTTCCTTTTGGTCAAAAGCTCCTGAAGTAAATAAACGTCCTGGCTTTCAGATTTTTGGTTTTGAGCGCTCCTGATGACAATAAATACAGAAGAGCACTTAGGTTACGTAAAAAAGGTGTTAACACTGGTTCCGACCGCTGCTGGTGGACTGTTATGCCCCGAGTCTTATCATCATAACAATTGGTCAGTGGTTCGACAGGATTTATAACATATAGCTTTCACATTACATAATTAAAGAACTATTTAGAAACTAAGTTGCCAACTACATCAGGCAAAATTGAACTTATATGACTTTGACTATTCGTATTAGGTGCATTTTTGTCATATAGGTTCTCAGTAGTTTTACATCCTTGGCCATCCATTTTTGTCATATTGGTCCTCAGTAGTTTTACATCCTTGGCCATCCATTTTTGTCATATAGGTCCTCAGAAGTTTTACATCCTTGGCCATTCATTTTTGTCATATAGGTCCTCAGTAGTTTTACATCCCTGGCCATCCATTTTTGTCATATAGGTCCTCAGTAGTTTTACATCCTTAGCCATCCATTTTTGTCATATAGGTCCTCAGTAGTTTTAAATCCTTGGCCATCCATTTTTATCATATAGGTCCTCAGTAGTTTTACATCCTTGGCCATCCATTTTTGTCATATATGTCCTCAGTAGTTTTACATCCCTGGCCATCCATTTTTTGTTTTCTGAAAACCCAGATATTACTCCAAACGCATTAAGTTTTATTAACCGCATTAACTTGACATTAAAAATATCATTGATACGGCCATTCCATATTTACTGTTTATGAATGTGAATTATTCGATACACTAAGGTTTTCTACAATATGCATATTCTTCAGCGGACCTGGCACATTTTTTTTATACGCCCGTTTACGGGACGTATTATGGTATACCGTTGTCCGTCTGTCCGTCCTGTCCGTCGTCAACATGTAGGACATTAACTCAAAAACGCTTTAACCAATTTACATAAAACTTGGGTGAATTTTTTTATATTTATTGACGTGACCTCTCTTTTGTTTTTTTATAAATTTTAGATTTTAAGTTTCCGAGTTATGGGGTTTTAATCATTAAAAAAGGGGGGATTTTCCAGTTGTCGGACAATAACTCAAGAATGCTTTCAGCAGTTTTTATGAAACTTTGGTGAATTGTTAATACCTATTGATGTAACCTCCCTTTAGAATTTATAAATTTTACATTTTAAATTTCTGAGTTATTGGGTTTTATTCATTAAAAAAGGGGGGATTTTCCAGTTTTCGGACAATACCTCAAAATGCTGTGAGCAGTTTTCATGAAACTTTGGTGAATTGTTTATTTCTATTGATGTAAGCTCCCTTTTGATTTTCATAAATTTCTAATATGACATTTAGAATTAATTGAACTTATTTGTTTATAGTCTGACAACAGATTTACTAAGTATTGCGCAACAGCACAGTGTTTTGCACAACAGCAAGAAATCTTTAATTGAATATAAATTCAATTCATATAACCAATTTCAAATTCTTTGACCTCATTTATTCAGAAACCTATAATACATGTATGTCAAATATTTAATTACAATCCAAATTCAGACCTGTATCAAACTTGAATATTGTGTCCATTTTTGCCCCAACTGTTCAGGGTTGGACCTCTGTGGGCGTATCCAGCTGCGCTCAGCGAAGCAGTTTATTAATTATTGTTTTTCCTTGCTCTTAACTGCCATTTGTTTTGTAGTACCTTCTTACAGCTGAAATATTGTGTCACGATGAATTGGGGCCAGGTGTCCCAAATTTTGAGGCTTATTTTAAATGTCGTCATAATATGATACTTTCTTATATCAGATTTTTTGAAGATCAACAATGAAATTACCATTATAGATGTAAATGTCCTTAAAGTGGTATTGACATGAAATAAAATCAAACAACTAAATGCCTAGTGATGTCAAGCTTTAAAATGCTGCTCATGTTTGTTACACTATGTATTGGATTGATTGTTGATTGATTGATTGGTAATTAACGCCACTTTCAGCACTATTGCGCTATTTCGTACCGGTCAGTTTTTATTGGTGGAGGAAGCGGGATTCGGACTCACAACCTCAGGATTGACAGGCTAGTGATATAGTAGTTCGACTACTTAGACCACTCACCCACCGAGTCTTCACTACTATGTGTTATAAGTTTCAATTGTAATTGATCTGATGTTCAAAGTGTATTGAAATGAATTTTGTTGGTTTGTTTTTCAGGGTTTTACAAATTTAGGTTATGATGATGATAAGTATAGTGACTATAGTGATCCAAGTCAAACCAGACCCCCAAACGGACAATCCTGGAATCCTGAGGATAGCAAAGACACATATGCAAAAATAACTGAACAATTAGATCAAGAAAAGCGTTTTGAGGTAGATCTTAATATTTGTTACTTCTGATTTACTATTATATCAAAATATACATTTGTATGAAAGGTGAAAGCAGGGTTATAAAATGATGTATGTGTCCATATGCTTCGTCGGTCCGTTATTTTGGTCTAACTATCCATTAATAGTACAAAAGTGAAGGAATTTCAATTTAAACACAAGTAGTGTTTTGAATAATTCAAACATTTATTAACTGAAAATTTACCGGAAATAACCACATTTATTGATATTTCATGTCAACACAGAAGTTCTGACTAAAATGTTCAGAGTTTGTGAGGAACCATTATAATGCACTGTTTATTCTTAATGAAGGCGACAGTAGTTTACTGATGTAAAAATCTCGTAAATCGATTAAAAGAGACAAACCAAGGTAACAAAAACTGAGGGAATCGAATGAACTTAAAAAAGAAGAAGACAGGATGCGTCGACAGGGTAAATAAACTCAACATAGATACCAGGATTGAAATTTTGTATTTGCGCCAGACGCGCGTTTCGTCTACAAAAGACTTATCAGTGACGCTCGAATAAAAAAAAAGTTAAAAAGGCCAAATAAAGTACGAAGTTGAAGAGCATTGAAGACCAAAAATTCCTAAAAGTTTTGCTAAATACAGCTAAGGTAATCTATTTCTGGGGTAGAAACGCCATACGAATTCACATTCAATCAAATTGTGACATTCGGGAATAGGAAACAATCGGATAAATTACAGATCAAACGAATACTAGAATATTCGTATATAAAGATCTGAGACCGCGAAAATATGCCGCTAGTGATCTGAGACAACAAAATTTCCTGATGGTGAACGTGAAACTTATATAGTGTCGATTCCATTCATTCTTCATCATAACTCTGTTGAAGCAGATTTTGTGTAAGGAGAACAGCACTGTTCATAAAGTCTGTATAGTTTGAACATGCACGAGCCTTACGTATTACATGAGATATGTTAACGCGATACGATAGAACAGAGGGTAGGGTATATTACCACTGAGAGATAGGAAGTTGACAATTGGAAAAAATCAAGATATAAAGCAGACATTCTACTTTTGGTAGAACCCTTAATTTCAAGTTCGCTGGGAAATATCAGATTTAAGCACTCATTAAAATGTGGGTTATTGAGTGACAGATCATCATAAATATATCTGAAAGTAAATATCAAAGAACTTTGCAAGATGCATGCTTTTTCTTTTCGTCTTTGAGAAGGTTCTGTATAAATTGCCTCAAATGAGAAAAAAATGGCCAGTAGTGGTGCACAATAAATACCTATTCGAATACCGGCTGTCTACTGAAATATCAATCCACTAAACTCAACACACTGTGACACATGTTATCGAATTAGTGATATCATCTTCGGTGTATTCGTTGATTAATTCTTCTATAATTATAAATGAAATAAAAAACTATTTCCGTTTACAATCACACATCAATCACTCAATACTTTTTAGACGGGTTAGATGTTCTGGAAGGTTTGGCGATTGAGATAAAATGGTGAAAATATGTCATCACTTAAACTGATCTGTAATGAAAATCAAATTTGTAAAAAAAGATTAGGATCGAGGAAAAAAAAAAAAAAAAACAACGTCAGAATAAAAAATCTCAAATCAGGTTGTGCTTAGAAATCTCCAAATTTTAACTCCATGGAAATAAACCAAATCACAGTATTATATAGAACTCTTTGTTTTATAGATTAGAAGACCTCAAGTATCTGGTAGTATACGACAGAACAGCGCGGAGGTAAATATCCATTTCAGTTATGATTATCATTTATTATAAATATGGGCTACTATGTTAAGGGAAATCATAACTCATGTTCTTGAAAACTATTTCATGAATTTTAGGACCAAAGAAGAGAAATATTATTTACAAAAACATATAGATCTGATAAATGTGTAAGTGAGTGGACATAGACATTCGTCACTTGCAATTTTGTGCTATTATATATTTCATATAAAACCTCATTTTTCAAACAACTTTTGTGTGTTTATTTCTGATCACATTTTAATCAAATTGTTTACGCTAGAAAGGACATTATCCCATATTTATTTTTTTTTTTTGGTCGAAATTTTGTAATGAACCTTTTTATTTCTAATGAATTTAACAGTAGATTTATCTATTGTTAGAAAAGTTGCTTTACCTTTCTACTAAAATAAATGATTATTATTAGTGTTTTCAATTTAGTATAAAAAAATAAACAACAGAAGACAAAACTACCAACAAATAAATAATCAAAATTCAAACATTTGTGCATCTTTCAACACCTGGTTTGGAAAAAAAATCCAAACACAAACGCTTTCAAAATATTTTTGTAAGAAAAAAAAAGCGTTTTTAATATAAAATATATAGGGAAGAAATTGAAAAGACGATTACTTATGTCTATGCACTGGACAAAATATACCGAATTTCTTTTGAAAACTCTAGGAGATCATCATTTTTTTAATGAAAGCGAGATTGAATTGAGTTTTGTTGATAATGAATGTCTGTTTAATGTCCAGTCGAGGTGTTAAACGCATATTATTGAGTCTCGATTTAATAAGATAAATTATTTTTAGGCTAGGAGCATTTTTTTTTGACATGTTGTAAACTAGACATATGCATATTGATTAAAACCATATGTTGATCTCTAGATGTTTTTAATGTCGCTTTATTGATGCAAAATTGGGCAATACACCAGATATCTTCTTTATGACATATTAAATCACATAACTATACTAAAGTGCTTATCAATGAAATGCAAAAGAAAAGAGCTTTCATACTAAGTACTATTTGAAATTAAAATTGAAACTAAAAATATTGTTGAAATGCTTTTCTTCAATTTAGTCATATCCGACAGGACGGGTAATAATTTTTAATAAAAGGCTGTGGTAGTAGTATTGATAATAAGTGTTATACGGAAACTGTTTAAATCTATAAAACAGAGTATTCAAAAATCATGTTGCATTTACAAAGAGTTTTTTTTTCATCATTTGTTTTAAAACAGTTTTCTTTTTACCCATTAATGAGGGTCTAGATTTGGAGAGAGTCCTACAATTCTGTATTCTTCATCATTTTTAGCCATTTTTTCTATTCTTTATAAAATGTGCCCATTTTTCTCCATTCTTAATAATTTAGCACCCCATTATTCTCTTTTCTTTATATGTTGGACTATTTTTCTCTTTTATTTTTGTTTGGCTTATTTTTTTCTATTATTTTATTTTGCCATTCTCTGCAGTATTGGGACATTATTCTATTTTCTGTAAACTCCATCAAGGCCCTCATTATTTGAATTTGAATTTGAACGAGAGCTAAATGATTGATATAAATTCTGCCAAGGTATAAGAAGTTAGCTTCTGGAGAGTCCACCTTACATTTACTCAATGTCCACTTGAGCATATTATTTTAATTCACCTACTGCTTTTATAGCTCGTGATCATATAGAATTTACCATCCGCAAGATAGTTTATTAAGTGTAAAATAAATCTACAAAAAAAAGCAAATATGTCTACAAAGACAATCAAAAAGGCATATAGACAAAGCACATTAGCAAAAACGAAAGACAAGAATACAAAAATTTACCATAGCACAACAAAACAATGACGGGATTTACAAGTACCGAGCCACGTCAAATGGATAATGCCAAAAATAGGTTAAACAGTAAAAGTAATAAATTACAAAGACAAATTAAAGAATACTATAACACGTTATTAAGGTGATAAACAACGTCTGTATCTAGAATCTGTACTTCATTGGACCATCGTGTATTATTTGTGAAGTTGATACGGAATATTATAAAGTATTTGTTGTGATAGTGACAGATAGATGTAGTATAGCAATTGTAGATATAGAATTACTAGCAATATGACGCCTTTAAATGTTTGGAATCCCGAACTTGCTTAAATTCATGTCAGTTCTTTCATTTACACACCTTATTTTGTCAGATACATGTTATGCCAGCATCAATGTGTTTAATGTTGGATTCATTGCTGTAGTTTAAAAGAGAAAAAAGAAGAAAAAATGAAAAGAAAACGTATTTTAATTTTTTTATCATTATTACATGGTTTAAAATATTTTGATTTCATTTTTATAAACCAATCAATGACACTACCTTCTGTTTTCTTACATTGGTGTTGCCTTCATTTAAATATGATTAAGATTTAATGTCTGATATATGTAAAAAAAAAACTAATAGAAACTACTTGAAGAATCAAAACATGTTCACAAAAATATACTAGTAAATAAGTAATATCTATTTTATTGTTTGATTTACAGGCAACTACAGGATTTTAGAATAATACCGCTGCCATGATATGGAAAGGACGTTATCCTAAAGTTATAGTATTGGTTATAAGATGCGTTAAAAATATTTGGTCTTCCATCATACCGACAATACTTTATAGTCTCCTATAGATTAACGTGTTCATTATATTCAAAATGCAAAAACGAGAAAAACGTTTGTTATATCCCTGAATGATCTGACTTTATGCTTTATTTGTCCATATATGTTGTCAAACTTTTCGTTATCTGTTTATTTTTTTTTGTCTACATTTGATATCGTCCGTTATGTATATATAGATTCTACCACTGCATCGAGTGTGATACGATATTTATCCTCTCGAGACAGTTAATTTTCAAATTTAAAACGCGAGGCTCGCCGAGCGTTTTAAATATTTAAAATTTAACTGTCGAGAGTGGATAAATATCGTATTACACGAGATTTGGTGGTGGAATCTGTTTCTCTAATGATTTTCAAACAATATGCAGGCAAATTTACTCCTTCTTTTCGAATGATCTGCAAAAAGATGTGTTCTTTCTATGTGACGTCATCAGGCATGGTCGCCTTTTTTCATGCCGTCACAATAGGAAATTCAGAGAAAAGCAAGAAAATTCGACGTCATAATCGTATTTTAACCAATGAAGAACTGAGATCAAACGAACCACACGTTGATTAAATTTTTTTTATACAATGGGTGCAGAAAGGGATAAATTGACGAAGAATTAGAGAAATATACATATATATATATATACATCCTTGTATATGTGTCTACTAGCATTTAGCAGATAAAATGGTTATTTAGAAACAAACCCTTTTAAAGGCAAACTATACATAATTGGGCGATATTTCGGATATTGATGATATTTTGTATGGATTTAGAACTAGTTCAACCTCATTTGTATATCAAAAAAATATATATAAAACAAGATAACTTCCAGATATACGTTCAATTAAACATTCAAAAGTAGCTATAGAAATGTATAATAAAAACAATAAAATTGATTGTGATTGACGTTGAAGGCGTCGAATCAATGACATGTATCTGAAAACATATCACTAGTCAAAGATAATTTAAAAGAAAGGTTATGAAAAAACTCTAGACACAATCGTGATTCCTCAATGTAGTCAACATTTCAGTCTATCAGGAAAGGTCTAAGCTGAGTCAATATTTGCCATTTAATTTTAACCCAGGGCAGCTGAGGGTACATTCATATATAATATAATATATATCGGCTACAACTAAATTCATTCATAAATATCACTCATTAACCTTTCTATCATTTATCAGTTTTGATTTTTGATTACATACTGTATTATATTGTGTTTTGCTTTGTATATTGTTTTATTAATTTTTCAAACAAAGACCATTTAGTCATGTTCCCGCAAATGTAATTGTTATTTGATTTTCATATACGGATGGACTCTGAATACTTCTTCATATTGTTAGACGTAAACTATATTGTATTACATATCATGAGCACATATCGTACTTTTAATAAAGTAATACATTCCTTGGTCACTGTAACCCTGGTATTTATGATGAGTTTATTTTTTTTGTCATAAGTTTTCCATTGTCGTATACCCTCGTAAAGAAATTTGTCTCTTATTTTATTGTCTGCTAAAATCAATTTTTGTAGAATGTGTCATAGTGAAGAAGAAATGGACACTGACTATTAAATTTATATACAATTTTTTTTTTAAATATTGTAACTTAACTTTTTTCTAGTAGTTGGGACCGTGGTCCGTGATCTCTTTACACTATTTTTCAGGTATATAGTAGAAAAAATAATTTATTAATGTCCTAATAATTTTAAAGGGATACTTCTAGTAAATGGATTGCACATTTGAATTCTTGTATATATTGTAGTCTCTTTTCCTAAGCAATCCCTAACGATTTAAAAATCTAATTAAAACAATTCCAAACACCGATTTTTAATTTATTAATTTTTTTAATTTTTTTTTACAGCAAACCTGTTTAACCCATACACTAAGTATAAGTTGTCATCAAAAACATCCAAGCACGTCTCAATTGTCTCACAAATTCTTCATCTACTTATCCCAAAAGCTAAACTGAACATATACTGAATTGTATATATACATTCATGGCTTTCAAATGCTTGGGTTTTAATGAGAGTAAAAGATAAGCGAAGGATACCAAAAGGACATTCAAATTCATAAGTCGAAAATAAACTGACAACGCTATGGCTAAAAAAGAAAAAAGACAAACAGACAAATAATAGTACACAAAACAACAAAGAAAACCAAAGACTGAGCAACACGAACCCCACCAAAAACTGGGGGTGATCTCAGTTAAATCAAGAAAAGTGCTTTAGATGCATGACATTTTAAAGTATTATTTTCATTTAATCCTTATTACATGATTTATCCAATGTACCATCTTAAGTGGTTTAAACTGCACACATAACAATGTGAGTATGTTATAAGTAGTACTTTTTCTCGCTCAATATCTGTAAAGGACGGTAACTAGCCCAGTAGTCAACATTTTTGTGTTGACATGCACTATCATTGACATGTTCATTTTCTATAAATTAACTGTTTATAAAATGGCGATATATTCGAAATATTAAGGTTTTTCAACCCAAAGCATAGATAGACTTAACTGATTTTTTTCGAAATTTTCGGATATTAACGCTTTTCAACTTTGTATAGAGTTGGCTTGCAAACCATTTTAATTCGAGCGCCACTGATGATATTTTTGTAAACGAAACGTGCCTCCGTCTTAGCAAACTGTAAACCTGGTATCTTTGATGACCTTTATATGAATATTTGTTTAGAAACCTGTAGCATTGTAATAAGTAAATTAATTATGCAACTTTTATATTCTCATGGGCATCACATTCATTTTATATACATGTCTTTACGAATACATATGATTTGATTTAAAAAAATGCCGATGTAAATTAAGACATTTTGATATTACTTATATCACGGAATTGTTTGCTCATGAACATCTATACGCATTAACTTTCCTTTTTCTATAGATTTATATTTATATATGTATCATTCACAGATGTAAGTTGAATCTAATTTATATACATGTACTTAATATATACCAATTACGTCAGTGTACATTTATATATATATAATGTATACTGAAGAAATGCTAGTTTACCAAAGTCATGTGTAAGAAAAGTTGTTCATTTGTTGTTTATTTATCTGAAGCTTTGATTTATATTTTAAATACAAAAATCTATCTGAAATGGGAAAATCAAGAACATTTACTGATCAATAAATTATGTTTCATATAGAAAGTATTTGTTTTATTTTTTTCAGCGGTTGACCGGTTGCTGTTTCATGGGCATCTAGTCTCATATATTGCATATGTATAGATAAATATATAATGGACCAACAAAAATTAAGCAATAAATCGGTTGGGTTGATTTTGCAAGTTGCTTGACTGAGATGAAGGAACAATTACATGTAGAGTAGGGCTAATAATCTGTTCTTCCGATATATCACGATGCATGATTTATAACATGCATTTCTGAACAAATCCCCGTTGATAAATTAAGAACTTATCAAGAAACTAAATGTCCAACATCAGTAAAGTTGATCTTAGAAAAAATCCTAGACCATTATTATTTAAAGAATAATGACACTCATGTATGCTTATAACAACGTTTGTTTCGTTTGTGAAGTCTTTTAAGTCGGGAATATGACAGTTGTTATCACATATTCTATGGATGTTGGCGTTTGTTTTTGTAGCAGTTCAGTGTTTCTGTTGTTCCGTTTGGTTTCCTCTTATAGTTGATGTGTTTCCCTCAGTTTTAGTTTGTGACCCGGATTTGTTTGAGTTTAATCGATTTAAGCATATTGAACAGCGGTATAGTACTATTGCCTTTATTTGTGTTGTTAGCTTCTCTCGCCAACCCAGACCCTGCGCAAACTTCTGTATCTGCTTTGGTAACTACTGTTGAAATTTAACGTCAGAAAATAAGAAAAGCGAATAATGGGGTGCTAGAATAAAAACGAATAGACGATTGATTGATTAATTGGTGTTTACCGCAACTTTCAGCACTATTGTTCTATTTCGTGTCTGTCAGTTTGTATTGGTGGAAAAGGCCAGAGTCCCCGGAGAGAACCACCGAACTTCGGTAATAAAACTGACAATCCTAGTCAATTAAGATTGGAATCGAGCGCTCCTTCCAGGTGCGGGATTAGAATAGAGAATAATGGGGTGCTAAAACAAAAGGATAGAAAACAATGGGCAAAAAAAATAAAGAATAGAGAAAAATTTTCTAAATTTACAGAATTTATACATAAATGAAGGGCCCCATCCAGACCCTCATATATTCAGACATAAACAATCCGAATCAAATTGTTTGTGTCACTGAAAGTAAACACCACGTTTCATCTTCAAAAGAAACTCATTGTCCATTTTACCCCAACTAATACCAAGTTGTATGGGGAAGTACTTACAGTTGAAAAAATACGCGAGCATTTGCGTTTCATTTAAATTCACGGATACTCTGATATTTCAGAATTAATTTATGAAATTTAAATTAAAAGCTACTACAGTGCATTTTTTTGTAACGTTCGAGCCACTTTTCTTCCATGTACAGGTAGAATTAGAGAAACCGTGGCCTATTCATGATGTTTACCAAGCTGTTTAAATATTCGTTTGCTCCATTCATATGAATCCCTTGCATGATTGTCACATGTTTTGATACTAGATATTCAGATTCGGTTTATAATACAGTTTTCAGTAACATACCTTTGCAAACAGAGAGCTCCAGAAACGGTAAATATTTGACAACGTAGCATTTGATTGCTGGTTTTCCGAACGTAGTTATTGTTAATGCCAATAATTGACAAAGTTCACGGCAAATCATCTCTAAAAAATATGTCTGCGATAATATTTGAATGATGGCGGATAAATAAACCTTTTATAGTGTTATAATTAATATATTATAAAAAAGAAACTCATCATAGATACCAGTATTAAAAATGTGTACGCAAGACGCGTGTTTCGTCTACTAAAGACTCATCAGTGCCGCTCGAATCAAACAAAGTATGATGTTGAAAAGCATTAAGGACTCAAAATTCCGAAAGGTGTGTCAAACACAGCTAAGGTTATCTATTCCTGGGGTAGAAAATCCTTAGTATTTCGAAAAATTTATAGTTTTATAAACAGTTAGTTTATAAATATGACCATATCAATGATAATTCATGTCAACACAGAAGTGCTGACTACTGCACAGTTTATATAGCACCGATTGTGTTCTAGGAAGTCAATGTAGTTTTTGCGAGTCAAACCAAAAACCCATAGCGAAAAGTCGCTGAAAACTTTTATCGTCAATTCGTAATTAACAGTCTGATAGACATACATCTAGGTATGCAGCACATAAAGTTATATCAATTGTTACATTATTTATTTTTACCTGATTGAAATGAATAAGTTGAAAGTTACCTCCACATCGATAATCATTTCAAAAACGTAAAAAACAACAGTGATACAGATATCGTTAATGTATATCAAATTATCGCAATTCCTACAACTTACATAAAACCACAGACACTTGTCTCTGTTAAATTTTTTTTTATCAATATACCTTTAGTTAATACAAGGTACTCATCCTATTTTTGAGAAATGATATTCGGTCGCGAACTTTCGCTTTTGTCGATTCAGCATGTCTATTCCGCTGAATGTTTAACATCGTTTATCTACATAAATGTATCTGTAGAATTGTGTATTAAATATTGAAATTCCTACCTTCATCGAAGGAGGCCTTCAAAGTTGATCATCCATTAGCCATTTCCTCATCTCACAGTTGATTGGTAATTTCGGAACGCAGTGAAAGAATATTCTAAAAAAAAGTATTTCCTAATAACCTATCGTTTTTCCCCTAAATAGAACAGTTCACCTATATAGTAAATATATAAAAGTTATTGCAATAAAAAAAAATCTTTAGCGATATCTTATGTTTCTAATTTGTACAGGGCTATAAATTGACCAAATTTTCAAACATTTATTTTTAGCCAGAAAACTGCCCATTAAGAATCCTCTATCCATCATTGCCCATTTACTGTCAAATCACGGCATAGAGTTTGCTTGACTTTCTTTAAAGTCTTCCTCCGAATGAATTCCGACATATACAATAGGCGAGTCATACACCATTGTGTAAATAAATGTATATTTAGACAAACAACGTCAAACGCTTAAACAAAGAAAAGCGAAAGTTTGCGACCAATTGTCAATTCCTTAAAATGAAAGATGAATAACTTGTGTTAAGTTAAGGTGTGATACTTAATTTTTTTTAACATGGACAAGTATCTGTGCGTAAAACAAAGGAAACTGTCCTTACTTAATACTCAAAAAAGAAATTAACCAAATACAGCAAACAAAATACAACAAAGAACAAACAAAAAAACAAAAAACACAAAACAAAACCCCCAAGAACCCCAAAAACAGACAACTTGTAAAGCAATCCATATGTGATAAGGGAAACCTTAATTATTCAAATAAAAATTGAAATCAAAGTGTACATTTTCAAGGGCATATGTAGTATAAGATTTATGGTAAAATTTTTGTAAAATACAGTCATATCTTAACCACGATCTTGTAATTGGAGTACATGTTAATTTGAACAAACAGACATAGTTATCGTTTCAATGGGCCAGGCGGAGATGTATTATAATTAGATTAAAAAATATGTCGTTTTTTTTATCTGATATGGTTGTTTCTCTTTAACTTATATATTATATAAATTTTTCCTAATTTTCTGACGTGTGGAAATAATTACTTAGCGGTCGTCATGGCTAATTCATTCTGATTTTGTCCAACTGTTACAAAACATGATCCATTCTATGACATTTGTGAATTCAAAGAATCGATTGAAGTGACACCTGTGCTTTATCTATAAATCATGATTTCCAGTTTACAACATTTCTTGGAACTACGAAATAAAAAAAATTATTATGTAGAATTCCTAAACCTGCATTCTTATATGATGGGGAAAACTGTCATTTGATTAACATAGTTTATCATTTGATTAACATAAATTATCATTTGATTAACATAGTTTATCATTTGATTAACATAGTTTATCATTAGATTTACATATTTTATTATTTGATTAACAAAGTTTATCATTTGATTAACATAGTTTATCATTTGATTATCATAGTTTATCATTTGATTAACATAGTTTATCATTAGATTTACATATTTTATTATTTGATTAACAAAGTTTATCATTTGATTAACATAGTTTATCATTTGATTATCATAGTTTATCATCTGATTAACATAGTGTATCATTTGATTAACATAGTTTATCATTTGATTAACATATTTTATTATTTGATTAACATATCTTATCATTTAATTAACATAGCCTATCATTTGATTAACATAGTTTATCATTTGATTAACATAGTTTATCATTTGATTAACATACTTTATCATTTGATTCACATAGTTTATCATTTGATTCACATATCTTATCATTTGATTAACATAGTTTATCATTTGATTAACATTTTGTATCATTTATCTTTGGCTGTCAGGGATTTTCGAAATTAAAACAAAATATGTTGGAAAAACAGTTATTTTCCTTCACGATATAAAATAGAATTATTAATCAAACATATACAGCAGATATTGTCAATAATTGAATAATAACACTGATGGTTAATTTATGGGATAATTATAGCTTACAATAATACGATAGAGAAAACTCCCTGTGGTTTTGGGGTTTTCGGTATTGTTTAACTTTGATATTTTCGGATTTCCGATATTAAATTGACCATTGACTAGAAATCATTTTTCAAAATGTCGAACCAATCATCTCCCATTCTGCCTTATTTTGAATTCTGAATTAGAAAGTGAGCGTTGAACAGACAACCGAGGAAATCTCGTTTAACAGTGCTTTATCAATGCGGCCAGTGTTTATTGGTGAAAGAAGCAGGAGTACCCAGAGAAAACCAACGATCTTCCACATTTAAACGAACTATTCAAGTCAATATAGATTGGAGTAAATTGCAACTTGCTTTGAGCGGGGTTCCAACTCACAACACACTACAAAAACAAAAGTCATTCACACACAAATTCAAATTTCAGATTCCACCAAATTGTATACAAAAAATAATTCAATGCATTTTGTTAGCTCGATTTTATCAATTCCTGCCTCCATACAAGACTAATTGCCAAATATTCAAGTTTTGTTTATACATTTAAAACTTTCCGAGCATATGTTACAGGATAATATAAATTAATTGAAATGTGCACCTATATAATTGATCGACGCTGACATAATATTATGAATTTGAAATTGATACCTTTTGGAATGGACAATAACCTTGGCTGATTCCAGATACAAAACGTGTTTTCCCTACCTAGAACAGTAATGCACATTGCTATATAAAATGCATTTACGCTTCATATCAGTTCAGTGTTCATTAAGTTTGATATCAGCTAACTGAAAGTCACTGTAAGTATTACATAAAGTACATTTAAAAATATTTGCGTCAATTTCTCTTGTATGTGTTTTACTAACAGGGTTTAATTTAAAAAAGTAGTTGACACATAATTAAACTTGAATATCTATTAACTTAAAGATAAATAATATACTAACAACAACTTCTTTCCGATTTTGACAATGTTAACATTTACCCTGAACCGTTCTTTGCACACAACATTAGCAGGTATATTTTCGCACATCAACACACTACTTTTGCATCAAAAACTTTCAGAGAGAAAGAAGAATATGTGAACAAAGTAATATACAAGATCTTGGGGATAAATTTTAACATTATGTAATGAAATTTTAATTACGGCTGTATGTGCATGTCTCAAGTCGAGAGGATGTAGTTCAGTAGTTGTCGTTGGTGGATGTCTGATATATTTGTTTTTCGGAAATACTTTTGTTGTTAATCATGCCGTTAGTTTTCTCGTTTGAATTGTTTTACATTGTTCATTACGGGCTTTTTAAATTGAACTCTGATGGATAGTTGTCTTATTGACAATCCCTCATCATCTTATACTTATATGGAAAGCCAAGTACAAAATTAAAAATTATGAACCTTACAAATATTTTTTTTCAGGAAGCTTAACATGTCGATTTTTCCATTGTTATGTCTTGTTTTGATTGCTTGTGTCTACGCACAGAGTCCTGACAACGTAGACGATGAAACAAATGATCTGGTCAAAAGGCACAGTAAGTTGAAGCTACAGATCAGATATATCGCTTTCGAAATATCAAACATTACTTGTGAAGCTCTTTGCAGAGTTACAGTAATTATTGTTAAACTCATATACGTTTTCACTATTCATGCTATTTATACAAATATATTATTTCGACTCAAATGATTTGAATTCCATGGAAAACAGTTGTCACTGTAATAAAATGGCCTTCATTTACTTTACGGGACCCTGTACCCCTGGGTTAGGGTTCAGTTTAAATGTAGATTTTGGGTAAGTTGTGTGTTTGTTTTCGATACGGGTAAGGGTGAAGTACAATGTCAGGTATAGGTTAATTTTAGGATAAGAGTAATTTAGTATAGCCCTTTAGAATTGGGTATTCTTAAGCACATGAGGGTTAATTAAAAATAGTTTTTACATTGACGTATCTCTGTTTACAAACGAAACTACATATAAAACTAAAAAAACTAGGAATACACTTTTTATTCTTAATCGCCAAAATTATGTTTGATGTCGTGTGTAAATTGAAGTAATTTAAGTGTCATTACGATACTGTACATGTGGTTGCTTTTTTTTTTACAAGACTTGATTCTTGCGGTAGTGAATGCGTATTTTCATGTTTATCTCTAACGTACAACAGACTACTCCTTATATAATGATATTTATTTTAAATTCAAACAAACAGACCAACATCAACAGACGGAAATATAGCAAGTTCCTGTTGTCTATGATTGGTTTAACTTATATGGGGCACGTGAAACCTAGTTTGCAAGAACAACTAAGAAAAATAGACACTATATCTAGCTTAAATAGATACCAAGTGACAAACAAAAACCACAATTCTACGTTTCAGAAACCTATGGGTATGGATAGATTCATTGGTCGTACCCTTAAAGTTAATAACGTCACACCACTGTCTGACTTTCTATTGATGGGAACACTTTAACCAATCAAAACGATTCGGAAACATTACACCGCTTTAGATTCTTAAACGGCGAACTACACATACTGATATGTCATGAGATAATAAACTTTCAATGCTATTTTATATAACGATTCGTTAAGTTTAAGTCGGTTTAATAGCATTTAGATTGAAAAAAGTAACAATTCTAAATGGTATTGGTTTGTCTTCATACTTAATGTTGCTTCTCCTATAGACAAGATACATCCGGTTTGGACATTAACAGTGATTAAATTGAGCTTTCAGAAAGCAGAAAGTAACATCTTAATAAAACAGCGTTCATTTTGCAAACGTTCAGATAACCAGCAATTATGATATTAACTTCCATTTTTTTCCTGTGATGAGGAGTTTACGGCGATTTAAGAGTTTTTATAATTTCTTATTTTTTCCTCACAAGGGATTCAAGTTAGCGGTCATTATCAGTCTAGAAACGGATGGCGTATTGGTGGCCATTTTCATCATGGATGGGGAGCACACCGTGGAACAGGAGGTAAGATAAACATTTTTCAGCTAAAAACAACAGGCGCTTTGGGGTATTGGCCTTATTATTTCTTATCTTTATTTAAGTTAAGACGTTTTGTAAGTGTCCCTTTGATATTTCAACTTTTTTTCTTTATTTCATGTGTTCTTGGTTTTATTCTCGTACAATCGTACAATAACTGTAACTAAAGAAAGCGTGAAGAAACTGCCCTTATAAGAAAGATTTGTGGTAAGATCATTATATGGACTAAAACTATAACACTTGTTTGAGAAAATAAGTTCCAGTATTAAAGTAATTGTAATAAAAAATCTGAGACAGCAAAAAATAAAAGAAAGAAAATTAGAATAAAGAAGTTAAGAATAAAAGAAAAACACTGGAAAATAATTTGTGAGTCCTCGCCACAAACGCTTTTGCTTAAATTATCATTGAAGACTTTTCTGTTTTATTGAATGAGATTTATATCTCATTTGAATTCGTCCATTTACTTTTCTTTCTTCCTAATTAGTCTTTTGAGAGGATCAATAATGTCGCAATCTTGTTTTCCGAGAAAGAAAAAAACGACTGTTAAGAATCCCATGTTCCGTGTTTTAGATCTTGTATTTTTTTGTATACGATTTCCGTTTTGTTTTCATTTCACTTCATTGTAGACGAATGAAATACGAGAAGATACAAACGGACAATAAAAATCATTAGTCGAATGCTAAAAGAAAAACGACGAAAATGCGACAACATTTTACAAAACTACACACAGAAAACAAACGATTAACCAATACGAACCACATCAAAAACAACGACACTACGCTTTTGATAATAAAAGTTGAAGCTGTCTTGTATTACAAACACACTGAATCGGTCGTAAAATAAACAAATCGAAACGGTTTTATAATGATCACACTGAAATGGTCGTTGAATAACCATACTTAAATGGTCTTATTCTAAACACACTGAAATAGTCGAATAATTAACACACTAAAATGGTTACATAATAACCACGTGCAGACTGAAACAGTCCTATAATAAAATTATCACCAGTTTAAAGAAAAGAGAGAGCTTATATACGTATTTTTTAAACTAACAATTACCCTATGTTGAAGGTGGCATTTCAATCTCTAAGTCCTGGGGCAAAAAGAGAGCATCAACTGTCTGCATGTCAAGATGTGCATATGCCTGCAGAAATTCTACAGTTAGATGTATGAAGAGCTGTCTTATGAATATGTGCTGATATGTTCTCTAATGTTTTGTTGTGAAATAAAGAATTACTGAATCTTGAATATTTATTGCCTGTATGTATATAAATAACAAACCAGCCCTAATGTTTGTTCACCTTAATAGCAGCAACTGAACATTCAGTAAATTCAATATGACGCTTTGCCAATCTGGTGGTTTCCAAAGTGCTTATTTGCCTTTAAAAAGATGGGCTAAATTTATCTATGATCAACTATGCCAAAGGGTGTTGAAACTTTATTTTTTTTTATATTATCTTCCTGTATCAACTGAAGTCAGTCCGTGTTTAATGCTAAGCAAAAACAGGTGGATCGATATTCTAAAGTTCAACATGTAATTCGGCATTTATAAAGATAAGAAAAAAATCCTATCGAAATAATTTTCCTTTAGTCAAACTTCACCAAAGGAGTAGGGCCATAAATGGTTAAAAACGGCCCTGTCTACGAAATTGACGAAATTACTACAGAAGGATCACTAACTAGTGTATTTCATAAAATGATAATCATTAGACTTGTAACTGTGTTTGTATAATTTTCCAGAGCGTCAGAAAAGACAAAGGTACATTTGTATCTTAGCCATTTGCGCGTAACGTTAACATTTTGTTCATTAACGTTCTCGTAACTTTATATTCATTTTACCACAAGAATTTACAAACATATTTCTTGAATCTTGTCCATATACTAGTATCGTGTTTTTTAACTATATTAAAAGAAGCTTACTAATATTGAGGTTTAAGCTGCACATAAGCTCTTCAATTAAATTTTGTATCAGTGGCCCGAATACTCGTTTTCTGCATTGATATTCACGAAATAGAAATTGCAGAGACCATGTTAACAAACATAAATCTATAGCATAGATTAAATTAAAAGTCCTAAAGGATTTTAAAACATAAGCAATGAATGTCTTCTACTGGGAAGACGGAATTTAGATTGAAAGCTGTAAAATATCATGGTGAGCGAAGTACTGTCGTAAAAAATGTACGATGATAGTTGATTACACCACATCATCTTATTTGTATATGGAAAGAAAACCCGTGATTCACTTAAACACAGAAAATTTTATTTTCTACTAAAGAAGTAAAAGATGAAAACACAGATAAAGATAAACAATGTGTATAGACAGTGCATAGCATTACATGTACTTCAATAATCATATAATTCATTACAATTGTACAAAAGTCATCAGACACTAGAACTAGACGTGCACTCATAAAAACGATTTTGTTTACAGATATGCAATTCAAAACTGACTATTATTTCAAAAGCAAATTTATTTATAACATTTTTGATTTTGAAGCTATGTATTTGATTTTTTAGACTGTACAACGTTTTATCAAATCTAAAAGCTATGAGATTTTGATCATTCATTTTTTAACAGCATAGTTTAAAAAACTGAGACTTTATGCTTATGCATACATGTAGCATTAAACTGATTTTAGAAGGAATTTCAACTACATGTTTTGATATGATTTCATTGCTACAAATGGATCCTCAATACTTTTTATTTTTATTCCTTTTTACAAATTCTTATTTTCACTTAGACTCATAAATGTTTTTAAACGATTATATGTATCTCAAATATTGTGACACTGATCTTATTAAACTATATGTGGAATAATTATTTGATTCTTTTATGTTGACAATGCACATTTTCGTAGTATTTTTCAAAAGTAAATATTAAAATTAAAGAATCATAAGATCAATAAAATTATACAACACCATGAACATATAGAGGCGACAAAAAGAAAAACAGCAATAACATAATACAAAAACAGATTACTATAGATAAAACACGATCCTCGGACCACAACAATGACCGAAATAAATCAAAAATATAAAGATATCTCATAGATATTTCATTCATAGTAAGCAGCCATTTTTTGTTGGTCTCTTGTAGCATAGTCTCATCCAAATTTAAAAGAGACCACCAAAAAAGGACCAAATAAAAAATGCATTCCGACAAATTATGCACGCTATCCCGCGTGAATATCAGATATTTATTTGAAGATACCCAAGCTTTATCATTGTGTCGGATAGTTTTGTTTCATCTTTATTTCAGTTTTCATTGCAAACAAATATTTGTTCTGGTTGAATGTCACGAACAGTATACACCATGCCTTTTCATGGCGTCGTAATCTTTATTTTAATTAAAAAAATATTGACAAGCGAATTTAACCACTGTTCAATATGATATCAAAATTCTCACGTGGTTACTTCTTATATCCTACAATTTTCAATGCATCTGTAGTAATTATTTAAAATGTTAACTTGGCATGCCATACTTGATAGAAAATGTGAACGTGAAAGAAAACACATCATCAAAGCGTCAACATGAGATTACATTCCACGGAGGTTACATTTCGACGATATCGTCTTTATAAACGATATCGTCTTTATAAACGATATCATCTTTATAAAACAAAATATGTGTATCTAAAAGGAATTTGGTATTATTAATAAATTTTAGTGTTGACACTCATATCGATCTGCTGGATGTAGAATTTTACGGAAAAAACTACGGCTCAATTTAAAGCTGTCCTATTTTTGTTTGCATAGCACAGACCGGTCTAATTATTAGGTGACACGGTAGTATTTCCCTGCCATAGGCGACAATAGTAACATATAAAAAAATTTCATTACTTTCTAACACTCCCCAAGACCCAAAACCTACTGTAAATTGAAGTACTTTCATTCAGATATTCAGAAATAAATGAGAAACATCATCATGACCGTTTACTTTTTTAGCTATTGTCACCAGTCTAAGGGAACCAGTCATTTACATCATATTTGGCCGCAGTAAATGCATTATTTCAAAAAAATTGTCAAAAATTTATTTCTATAGTTGGATTTAAAAATAGGTATTTTTTATACTCATTAGTGGTTAAGATACTTGAAAAAAAATGTTTCTGGTTGATAATCCATTTCAATGTCCAATCACAATGTTCACCTAAGTAGGGTACACAAAGGAGCAATCTAAAACGTGGGAAGCAAATACTACCGTGCCAACATGACAACATAACGTGGGAATGAACTTAAAAATAATTTGCAAATTCACAAATATTCATTTCCACCAATTTGTCTTGTTTTCTAATAAAAACAGTTTTGGGGACGTATCTATTCGTGTTTAAAAACTTCGCTGGGTCGGCAGTTAACGTAGTTTCGCTAAAAATAAAGACATGTTATTCAATTTTCTTCTTTTATGTTTGTTAAAAGTAAAAAAAAAATAACTATAGAATTTATTTCTATTTATAGCAAGTTCTTGGTACAGTTATTTCATCACATAATCTATCATACCTCGGAAATGTTGCGTTGATAGATATAAGAAGATGTGGTATGAGTGCCAATGAGACAACTCTCCATCCAAGTCAAAATTAATAAAAGTAAACCATTATAGGTCAAAGTAGGGTCTTCAACACGGAGCCTTGGCTCACACCGAACAGCAAGCTATAAAGGGCCCCAAAAATTACTAGTGTAAAAACATTCAAAATTCATTGAATCAGGATTTGCTTGTTAGAAAAAGTTAAATTTTCGATGTGGTCACAGACCGCGACCACGCTTAATATTGTTGCAAACTGAGTCAAAGTATCAAACAATCAGAATAAGAGTAAAATTACTTTGGTCGAGGCATGTGGCCAATGCGAAATTTAACCATGAAGTGTGAAATTCTTTCAGAATTTGAACATTTTGAGCGTTCCGGTTTGAATCCGGATATTACGTCACATTAATGACGTCACAAAAATTTGATTTTATACTATAATAGCAAATAACGTTATACGTATAACAGTACCCAAATTGCACCGATATTATGTACGTCTTTCAACATAGCTAAATATATCTAAATATTCACAAAACGTTCACAGTATATATAAACAGACGAAGTGCTTACCGGAAAAAGTAAAATCTACGAAAACGTCGATATGCGACGTCCACAAAAATGATCAATTAAAATATGTTACAGAAATCCATTTCTTAAAAAATGAATAGTAAGCATGGACTATTGTCAAATTGTTCTGGATATTTGGAGAAATAAAACAAACATCAGTTATTCGATTTTAACGTATGTGAATTTAAGCATTGGTGCAATTTGGATACTCCTTATTATAGAGTCATGGATCGTTTGGAGGTCGGTTCAACCCCATTTTTCTATGATTCAATATGGATTTAAAATTAAATTGGTGAAACCATATAGTAATTTAGGATACATCTACAAAATAAACACAGAATGGAAACTTTTGCCCGGGTCATAAATAAACGTAGGTGAAAAAACTGTTAAAATAGGTGTAATTTAGGTACCCTCACGTTATATGTTTAAGCTATAAAGGATCCACCTTATTTCTCTTTTATTTTTTGTCACCTCACAGGGCCAATATCGACACTTCGTAGCCATACTCCTTTTAGTTGACCAACCATTTAAAAAAAAAAAATCGGCAAACACCAATGAGCCAATTTGTCAGTTTGATTGCAATCATCTTTAGACGAGAAAAAGTGTCAGGGATATACTAGTATATGAGTAAGGCGGGCTGCAATAAACAAAAATGTAAAGAAAATTCTGCGTCCTGTAAAATATATACTTATAACAATGAAAATATTATTTTACTTTGATGAAAAATAGATAACTGAATGAAATAAGGTAATATCATAAAAAAAAAGCATTTGGGAATGGATACATACAGAGGAAAAACATCTCTCGAGCCAGCTGGGATGCCCAACATAAGGTAAATTGTTTTCAAATTTTGTCCTAAAGAGTAAAAGCTGATGATAAGATACTATAAGTATTCAGGTATCGGCAGAGTAATAGCAATTTTAGCAATGAAAAAAATCTGGTAGCAACACATAAAGTGACACGCAGGATTTTCAAAAAAGGCTTAAACTGGATACACCACAATTGCCAATTCAAAATGCAACTCATCAAAGTTTTTTTTAATGAAAACAAAATATTGCATTTTCTAACAACATAACAACTTTAAAAACAAACTTAACTTTCGAAATGTTGTCACATTGTTTTTGAACAGTTCACGTAATCATTGAAATTGTAGATCAGAAAACAATATAATGTATTTTACACTATCTATGCTTTAAATTCTTTTTTTGAACACTCTCAAAATACGAGTGTGAGTTTTTTGGCTCTGGAAGTTGAAATTTTCCATTTTCCTATATATTGACACTCGTTTTGCTGTTGTTCGTGTTGCTTTTTCAATTATATTCTATAGACCTTAAAACTATCATTTCACATTGATACAAATCAATTAGTTTCATCAATCAGTTGTCAAATGTAGGAAAAAATTCAGATGTAAATAAGACAAAATTGCACCCAAAGAGAGGATTTAGAGAACAAATCACACGACTAAAATATTGTGTAGTCTAAATAAATTTTAAGTCCCATTTTATGCAGGTAACGTTTCAATAAAATATACTTAGAATGTGAATCGAAAGTCGAATAACCGATTTAAATTTACTTACAGGAGCACCTGAGATCATCCTCGTTTGTGGGGTTTGTGTTGCTCAATCTTCTTTTCGTTTATTTGCTATGGCATTATCAGTTTCTTTTCGACTTATGAGTTTGACTGTTCTTTTTATTCTTCCAACTTTCTTTTACAATCTCTTTGAAAGCAATCACATATCAGCAAAGATGATGTGTTCAATTAATACAACATTTTACTATTTTCGCTGTATGAGGTTTTGAAAGAAGACATTCCTTGTCTCAACAAGCAGACACGTTTCCTGCTTAATACACACCTCCCTATATACACACATCGACCTGTTGTGTTTGTGTTCATCAATAAAAATAATAAAAATTATCAGAATAATTTACGTTATAATATAAAAAATGGAACCTATGTAAGAAGTCCTGTACAATAAATATAAAAAAGGAGATGTTGAATTAATGTCAATAAAACAACTATTCACCATTTTTCAAGGCTTTTTTGCCTTGCATCGACTAGATGGCAGGGGCTAGCTATATACCGGTGTCACACTGTTATTTCCATCGGCTGCATAAACATTTTATTAAGGAAGTTTCCTCCGTTTAGCTAGCCCAAAACGTGGGTGCAGCTATCATCTGTCCTTTCTGTGTATCCCTCTGCTAACAGCCTACTAAACGCTACATAACAAGACACAGGCTAAGCAACACGAACCTCATAAAAAAACTGCGAATATGTCAGGTGCTCTAGTAGGGTAAGTAAATATTGCTCAACATGTCGCATCCATCGTTTTTCTCATGTTGAGTCTCATTAGATGATGTCACAATCGAGTAAAGAAACATGTGAATATGGATACGACAATTGGAACATATCTTATGTCACAGATATTCCATAACGGTCAACCCATCATGGTGTCCGGAAAAAAATCGAAAATTGACTTCAACTTTACCACTGGAAACCCTTGATTTCATAGCATCTGTGTAAGCAGCATCCCTCTATCAATGAAAGCATGAAATGCTTGATAACTGTGAGATATATACGCCATATGCCTGCACTCCTGAAATGTTACATAGAAGTGGAAAGTTTGCAATTTGAAAGATAAAATGATCTCTTATGTCATTTTATTTTGATCAAATTACCCTCGTTGTCAATTTCTAGATGTAAAACAAAATATGAAGCACACATTTGAACTACTAGTTCATTTTTAGCCGGATAACTGCCCTTTTGGAATCATCTATCAATCATTACCTATTTACTGTCAAATGAGAGTATAGAGTTGGTTACATTTCTTGGAAGTCCTCCTCCAAATGAATTTCTACAACTAAAATAGGCGTGTCCTACACCATTTTATAGATGAATTGGACTTCGAGAAAACAAGTTTTATAAGGACAGACAAACGCTGAAACAAAGAAAAAAGCAAAAGTTTGCGACTGAATGTCAATTCCCAGAAAATGAAAGAAGAGTACGTTGTGTTAAGAAAGTTATGATTCGTATTTTTTTCAACCTGGAAAAGTACATTGTGTGTAACAACATAGGGAAAACTTTCAAAGTATTCAAATAGAAAAATAACTGCCATAAATACATGTACAACAAACAATTTCAGTCAAGAACACAAAAAAAACCCCAAGTAACCCGAAAATAAAAAAACCAATCCAAAACAAATTGAAAAAAAAAGAAACACTAATACAAAATGAAAAAAAAAAAAAATGAAATTTGAACAAATAAGATAATTCTCACACATATATACATGGCTCATATGTATAGACGCCAAAGTACATAGATACATGTAAAGCAGTTCATATTTGATAAGATAAACAATAATCAAAATAAAAAAAATAAATAAAAGTGTACATTTTAAGGTAATAGAAGATTTATGGTAAAAGTTTCAGTCACTTCTTTACAACGATCGTGCAGTTTGAATAACATGTTAATTTGAACGAACGGACACACCACTCATCCTTTCACTGGGCCGAGTGAGGATGTATTACAATTAGTTTGAAACATAAGTCGTTTTGTTTATCTAACATGATTGAGTCTCTTTATTATATGATTTTTTCAAAATAATTTTCGTGATGGCCAATCCATTCTGATTTTGTCCAGCTGTTACAAAACATGATCCATTCTATGACATTTGTTAATTCAAAGAATCGATTGAAGTGACACCTGTGCTTTATCTATAAAACATGATTTCCTGAAATCGAAGCAAAATATATTCGAAGAACTGTTATTTTCTCTTACGGTATTATATTTAATTATCAATCGAATATATACACCAGATACTATTGATAATTGAATTACATGTATAACACTGATTATTGGTTCATGGTATAATAATAAACTGACAATAACTCGAAACCCTCTGTGGTGTTAATTTAGAGTTGTTGTTATTGTTAAACTATGAAATACATGTATTCAGATTTTCGACATTAACCATTGACGAGAATTTGTTTTGTCAAAATGCCCAACCAATCAGCCCTAGTTCCCCTTAATTTTGTATTATGAATAAGAATCAAAGTGAGCATTGAACAAACCAGCGAGATAAAACATCTTTTAATTAGTTGTTTGCTCTTTGTACATGTTGAACATCTTTCAATATGTGTAATGGTCTTCGAACATGTCGAACACCATTAAACATGTTCAAGAACTAGATGTGAATTTAATTAAGGCTTAAAGTACTACATGATTGATTGACAGTGTTCAACGCCACTTTAGCACTCTAGACTTTATCACTGGGACAAGTTTTTTTTGCTGAAAGAAGCCGATGTACCCGGAGAGAACCAACGGCCTTACACAGGAAAAATGACTATTCAAGACAATATTTATTCGAGTCAAATGTACCCTACTTTGAGCGCGGTTCTAACTCACAACGTATTACAAATAAAAACAAAAGTCATTCACACACAAATTCACATTACAAATTCCACCAAATTGTGTATAAAAATGAATGTTATGCATTTTGTAAGCACGATTTAATCAATACCTGTCTTGATACATTACTAACTGCCAAACATTCAAGTTTTTCCTATACACTTAAAACTCATCGAGCTTTTGTTACAGGGCAACATACAATAATTGAAATATGCACCGATATAATTGATCGGCGATGATATATTATTATGATTTTGAAATTGATACCTCTTGGAATAAACAATAACCTTGGCTGATTCCAGATACAGCATGTGTTTTTGCTACCTAGAACAACAATGCACATTTCTATATAAATGTCGCTGCATAACAGTTAAGTGTTCACTTGAGAAAGACATCACCGAACTGTAAGCTGTAAGTATTACATAAACTATAATTAAATATTTTTGCGTAAAATATGTATAGTCAACATCCACTGTATGTCGTATCACAGGGTCAAATTCTAAAAAAAGTATTTAATTGGATTCTAATATTAATTAAGATATATAACATACTGAAAACATTTTAAAAATGTCTCTTCGATTTTGACAATGTTAACATTCTCCCCGAACTGTTCTTTGTAAAAACACTCAAAAAGAAATAGGTTGATAAACAGTAGATTACTTTTATGAATAAACCCAAAATATACTTGAATTTAAAGAAGTTTTAAGGAAAATTATAAGAATTAACGGAAGTGTGTACCTTTATACTTATAGGTGTATTCTCCTGATTGAATCTTTAAAATTATATTTGTAAAACAATTATATACTTTATTTTCTTTTATTACTTATATCTGTACTATTTATTTCTTTCGAATAACTGTTTTGGATTATATTGACAAATATTTATCAGAATAAAAATATAAAAAAGGAATGTGGAGTTGGTATACAAAACAAAATATGCAGCAATTATCCACAGTGATTTCTCCAACATATGTAATACATACAATGTCTTATCCATGAATGAAGGTATTAATTTGAATATTTTAACATTAAAATCTTATAAAGTAGGTTATTCTCAAATGTTTCAAAACAGAAGTTTAGCAGTACTACAAGGTTACATAACCAACAAGCAAAGTCACGTGAAAAATTATGAATTTTATAAATGTTTTTATTATTTTAAGGAAACTAATCATGTCGATAATTCCATTGTTATTTCTTGTATTGGTTGCTTGTGTTTACGCACAGAGCCTTGACAACGTCGACGAAGAAACAAATGATCTAGTCAAAAGGCACAGTAAGTTGACACTTCAGATGAGATGTCTTACAGCTCTAGAACTATTTAATGTTACGTGTTAAAAACTATTTGCACTTGTACAGTAATTATTGTTGAATTTTTATACTTTCTGCCGATTTATAGAAATATATGATAACGGTTTCAGTGATATGAGTTCCATAGGAAAGAGCTACCATTCTTATAAAATGACCTTCATTTCTATTTAGTGACCCTGTCCTTCAGGGCTAGGGTTTGGTGTAGGATATGGGTTAGAGTAAGGGTTAAGTGAGTTTTTATTTTAGATGGGGATTGGGATTAGAGACTTTGGTTAGGTATAAGTAAAGGTTACTTTTAGGATTAGTTATCTAATGTAGCCCTATATGGTTAGGTCCCCTTAAGAACAAGAAAGTTAATAAAATAATAGTTCATACTTTGGTGTATCTTGTTAGATCTTAGGTGACGGGCGGAAATAAAAAGAATACACTTTTTATTCGTAATCGCGAAAATAACGTTTGATGTTGTATGTAAATTATGGTAATTTTATGTGTCATTTCTATCCTGTACATGGCTGCGGCAATTATTTTTACCTGCGTCGCCGAAGGCTAAAGCAGGTTTAGTAACCGCGGTAACCCGTCCATTCGTCAATCCATCCAAATGATCAAGGGTAGCTTTTCTGCCAATTTTTTCTGGGCATCTATAAAAGGGAAAAATTTGATATTTGGTCTGAAACTTGATAATGTTGTGTTGTAGCGAGTGAGCAATTTAATATCCGCCATGCAGCCACGTCTTGTTTGCCGATCGTTTGAAATTTCACAACACACATTGTACAAGGAAAATATTCGTTTAATTTGTCTTGGCTTTTAGTTAGGGGAACGATTTAATATTTGGTCTGCAGCTTGATAACATTGAGTTGTAGCGAGTAAGCAATTTTCATATAAGCCGTGCATGTATTTCCTCTTTGTCGGTATTTTGAAATTTTACAACACTCATTTTACTAGGAAAATTTCGTAAAACTTCTCATGACTCCTTTTGAAGGGAATGATTTAGTATTTGGTCTGCAGCTTCAAACTGTTGATTTTTAGCGAGCAAATAATATTTACATCCACCGTCCAGCCACTTGCTGCTTAACGACGGTTTGAAATTTTACAGCAATCATTGTACAAGGAAAAACTTAAAAAGGTTAAACTTCATTTGAGTCGTAACAAAGGGGCTAATTTTATTTTCCCTCTGCAGCTTAATTATGTTCAGTTGTAAATAGTAATCAAATTTTACATCCGCAATGCATCCACTTCCTCTATATTTTGAAATTTTACAACACCAATTGTACAAGGATAATTTTCGTCGCATGTGTTTGTCTTTAATGAAAGGAAATGTCAGTTATGCTTCATTATACATGTCCCCTCAATCAATTGGATGCAGCAACGCATGTTCAGACCTTGTATTGGTCTAGTTACAAGTCTTGATTTATTCATAAGAGTATGCATATTTTCATCGTTTAACGCTCAAACAACTTTAGTTTAATTTCCATTGCTGAGAATATTTTAACCAACCATAACGATTTTGAAATATTACACAGTATCCATTATAATCTGAAACGGCGAATTACGCATTCTGAGATAAAATTATTTTTAATACTATTCTATATAACAATTCGTTCAGTTCAGTTTCTTAAAAGCATTTAGACGAAAATAATTATGTCAGAATACTAAATGGTAATGATTTGTTCTCATGCTTATTGTTGCTTCTGATATAGACAAGATAGTTTTGGCATTAGATTAAGCTTTCCGATAGCAGAAAGATTTTCGGGATACAACAGCGTTCTTTTTCTTACGTTCAGATAATCAGCAATAATGATATTAATTTTCCGTTATTTTTCTGTGATGAGGAGTTTACGGCGATTTGAGAGTTTTAATTTCTCATTTTTCCTCACAAGGGATTCAAGTAGGCGGTCATGTTCAGTTTAGAAACGGATGGCGTGTTGGTGGCCATTTTCATCATGGATGGGGATCTCATCGCGGAACAGGAGGTAGGATAAACAGATTGCCACTAAATACACAACCATTTTTGGAGATGGACCCTCTTTTTTCTCTCCTTTTTTATGTTAAAAAAATATTGTTAAATTTTCTTAAATACTAAAATTTGTACTTTGTTCCTTTATTTCATGTATTATTGTATTCATTACTATTAATCTTACGCGCGTCTTGCGTATTAAACTATAAACCTGGTACCTTTTGATAGCTATTTTTTGTGTGTGTCTCTGTCCTGTATGTTCTCCCATTTATTTGAATTGTAGTCCTGTCATGTAATCTTGTCATTTTAATGTTATATTTAACATTGCCATAAAAGCGGGAGGTTTGGTTAGCCACAAAACCAGGTTCAACCCACCATTTTTTCTTAAAATGTCCTGTACCAAGTCAGGAAAATGGCCATTGTTATATTATAGTTCGTTTCTGTGTGTGTTGCATTTTAGTGTTGTGTTTCTGTTGTGTCGTTGTTCTCCTTTTATATTTGATGTGTTTCCTTCAGTTTTAGTTTGTAACCCGGATTTGGTTTTTTCTATCGATTTATGAATTTCGAATAGCGGTAAACTACTGTTGCCTTTATTTACAATACAAGTAGTGTTTCTTATCTAAAATTAGAGTAGAGGGACAGGCCGTAAAAACTAGATATTTTTGTAAATGATATGGAGAAGAGATATATTGATAACACTGAAAAGGTCGTGAAGTAACCACAATGAATCAGTCGTATAATGAACACATCGAAACGGCCGTAAAATAAACACACGGAAACGGTCGTATAATAAACATACGCAAATAATAACCATATGCACACTTTCACGGTGGTATAAAAATCACACTAAATTATTACCAGTTTTAAAGAAAAGAATTAGTTTTTTAGTTTCACCACTGTCCTAGATTGGGGAGGGCTTGGCGACAACAAACTAGTTTAACACCGCAACATTCTGTATGTGCCCGTCACAAGTCAGGAGCCTGTAGTTCAGTGGTTGTTGTTTGTTGCTGTTTATCATATTTCTTTTTAGTTCATTGTTTTGTTCATTAATCAGGTCGTTAATTATCACGTTTGAATTGTTTTACATTATTTTGTCATTTATGTGCCTTTTATAGCTGACTGTGAGGAATGGGATTTGCTCATTGTTGAAGGTCGTACGGAGACCTATAGTTGTTAAAGAGACGCGAAAGATACAAAAGGGACATTCAAACTCAGTCAAAAATAAATTGACAACGCCATGGCTAAAAAAGAAAAAGATCAACTAAAATGTTATTTGGTGTCTGGTGGAGAGTTGAATCATTGACAATCATACCACATCTGATTTTTATATTAGATATTTATTTTTTAAACTAACAATAACACTATGTTGAAGGTGGCATTTCAATCTCGAAGTCCTGGGGCAAAAAGAGAGCATCAACTGTCTGCATGTCAAGATGTGCATATGCCTGCAGAAATTCTACAGTTAAATGTATGAAGAGCTGTCTTATGAATATGTGCTGATATGATCTCTGATGTTTTGTTTTGAAATAAAGAGTAATCATATGTTGAATATCTTTTGCTTGTATGTATAAAACTAAAACAGTCTACATGTTTGTTCCCCATAAGAGCAGCAACTGAACAATCGAATGCATAGAAAGTCTGTCTTGAATTTTGCTTTTACTTTTTTGCCGAGTGTGCGTTTTACGACTGAAAATAAATGCCCAGCTAAAATGTTAAACTGACTAGCTGCAATTTAAAAAAAAAATTTCTTATTGCAGTATTATTCTACTGATTGTTTTCATCTTTCAATATGTCCCTCCAGCACTCAACCCCTAGTTTGGAAACCATCACTGTTTTAATATTATGCGAAGGCGGAAATCTATTGACGTCATCTGAAAATTTGATATAACGATTTGCCAATCTGGTGGTGTCCAAAGCCGTTTTCTGGATTTAACAACCTGTAACACAAACTTCAAACTGATGCAGGATTGAAGAACAGACATACTAACGGTCGGTTGCACAAACAGGAAAACGTAGTGTCCCTTTTTATCGCTAGGCATAAATGGTGGATCATTTCAAACTTGCAATGCCTTTCTTGCTCTTTTTAATCACTTTCAAATACCGAGTGTGAGTTCATGTGCTCCGGAAGTTTAAACTGTCCATTTTCCTATAGTGACACACGTAATGATGTTGTTGGTGGTTGTTTAAAAATTCTGTTTTATAAATTCAAATCACCATTATTTCACATAGATACAAATCAAGTTGTTTTATCGATCATTTATCAAATGTAGGAAAACTTATGTATTGTAAATAAGACAAAATTGTACCCCTAAAAAAGAGGATGTAGATAACTGTTTCACACACGACTAAAATATTTTTTAGTCTGAATTAATCTTCAGTCCCATTTCATGCAGGTACTACAGAGGTTCAATAAAATATGCTCAGAAGGCGGACCGAAAGTCGAATATCCGGTTTAAATTTGCTGAGGGTAACACCTGAGTTAATCCTCGGTTTTTGTGTGGGTTTGTGTTGCTCAGTCTTTGGTTTTCTTTGTTGTGTTCTGTAGACTGTTGTTTGTCTTTGTGCCGTTTTTTATTTTTTTGCTATGGTATTGTCGGTTCCGTCTTATGAAGTCGACTATTCCTTTTAATTTTTCCGCCTCTCTTTTACAATCTTTTCGAAACAATCACATAACAGCAAAGCTGACATGTTCAGTGAATTTAACATTTTACTAATCTATTATCGCTGTATTAGGCATTGAAAAAGGACATTCCATGTCTCAATCAGAAAATATTATGTACCCTGTTTTTAGAATGAAATCCTAAGTCCCCTAAAAAAGAAATAAACAGTAAGGAGATGTTGGATGATTATCAATAATACAACTATACAAAAAAATTTGAATGCGTTTTTGCCTCGCCTCGCCCAAATACCGAACTCCAAGTTAAATTAAAATCGGAAAGTCCGTTATCAAATGGCAAAATCAAAAGCTCAAACACATCAAACGAATGGAAAAAAAACTGTCATATTCCTGACTTGGTACATGCATTTCCTTATGTAGAAAATGGTAGATTTATCTCGGTTTTATAGCTAGCTAAACCTCTCACTTGTATGACAGTCGCATAACATTCCATTATATTGACAACGATGTGTGAAAAAAACCAAAACAGACATAATAGGTAAAAATGTCAAAAATAGGGGTATAGCAGTCAACCTTGTGTTATAATCTTAATCACTATAAAAATAAACAAATATGGCAACATAGAAAAACAAAATGGCATATAGACAAAGCACATACGCAAAATGAAAGACAAGAATACATTAAATGACCATAGCACAACAACACATAGGCGGGATGCATAAGTACCGAGCCATGCCAAATGAATATTACCAAAAATGGACTAAACAGTAAAGGTTATTAATTTACAAAGACAAATAAAAGAACACTATAACACGTAATTAACATGATAAACAACGTCAGTACCTAGAATCTATACTTCAAGACCATCATGTATTATTTGTGAAATTGATACGGAATATTTATCAACAATGTCTTGGTATCTTCCGATAAACTTTTCTTTAGAAAAAGGACGAGACGTTCTTTGACATAACACTGGTTCATCAACTTTCTTCTCAGACACCGGTGACGTTTTACAAAGTCTGAATAGCAGCTGCAAGCTCTTGAATACCGAATGAGTTGGGAAATGTATATCCCATATGCAGGTGAAGTTGGTATATTGCTACTAAGGTGGGGGAAATGGATAATTTGAAAATTAAAATCGTCTCGTTTGCCATAGATTCTGGTACTGAGATGACCGAATATGTCAAATTCGAGGTATAAGTCTAAAAATGAGGCAGAGAAAGCTGTGTCTGTTGTTTCTTTAATTTCTAATTTTGGAGGGTATATTAATGGAACCAAATAAGAAAAAAATGGATTGTTAATGGAGAGAATATCATCAATATATCTGAATGTGAAATTAAATGATCTGGCTTCTTTGATCTTCTTGTTTTTGACAAATGTCTGAAGGAACTTCGACTCATATGAAAATAAGAAGAGGTCGGTAAGGAGAGCCGCACAGTTCGTTCCCATTGGAATGCCGAAAATTTGTAGAAAAAATCTACCTCCAAATTCAAATAAGAAACTCCAGCATACTTTGATTTATTAAAGCAGTGTCTTATGTGTAGCTAGCCCAAAATAGAGGGTGCAGCTGCAATCTGACATTTCTGTTTATCTCTATGCCAACAATCCACAAAACACTACTTAAAAAATCAAAGGCTGAGCAGCACGAACCATATAAACAACTTGGAGTGATGTTAGGTGCTCCGGAAGGATCAGTAGATCAACACTTTGCACCCGTCATGTTGCTCATGGCTAGTACAAATGCGGTGGTGAATCTCATTCCATGATGTCACAATCAAGTAAAAAAATACGGGAATATGGATTCGACAATTGAAACCTATTCGTTCTATAAATGACAACCAACTCATGATGGCGACCGGAAAACTTTCAAAGGGATGACTTCAACTTTACCACTAGGAACCCTTTGTTTCATAGCTTCCTTCTAAGCAGCATTCCTTAATCAAATGAAGCATGAAAGGAAAGTTGTGATAATTGTGAGATATATAAATGCAATGCTGGAATGTTGTGAATATAAATTAGCAATTGGAATGATGACATGATCACTTTTGTCGATAACATGTTGTTCATAAATAGTCCTGATTGTCAATTTCTAGATGTTAGTCAAAATATAAAGCAGACTTAAAAGGTATATGTGGTAACCCTTTAATTCAATTTAGATAGGATAGAAACACCTTCCTCAAGCAATGTCCGAATTGTTATTGCAAAAGCAGACCCATCTACAGAGGAAATCAATTACTTAAAAGTTGAACTGCACTGTACATATCTCAGATACAAACTGTTGTAAGAGTGCAATTACAATGTTATAGGTGTCATGCGACAGGTCAAAGTATTGAATCATTGAATTAAACCACATAAAGCTTCGCTCTGTATGAAGCATCCTCTAGTTTTATATGTATGTTTGCAATAATATTCTAATATTTATCTTCAGATTTAAGTGGTGCCCCCTACAAAGATAAGGTAGTTCCATGAAACAAAGAAATTGTAAAACATATAATTTATAAACGACGGAAATTGAAATCTAAATATTGTTGATATTGTGACGACTTCTAAGAGGAGGGCCATTGGATTTAAGGTAAGTTGAGAAAAAAATCAATCCTGGTAATAATTATGATGTAAATAAATAATTTGATCTAAAAGAGATTTAGTATGATTGTCAATGCGTCAACCAGTCACCATAGACCAAAAGACGATATTTGTCCATTGTTTTTAAATAAAAAGTTTTGTTAAGGTTGATAAATAAACGCTACAGAATATGAAATGGAAAGAGTTTTGTGAACTTTCCTCATGAAACGTTGCCTTTAACACCCGAAATAGGCCAACAACAGAGATGTTGATGATATATGACATGTATATGTTATCTGTTATAACAAAGTTTAAAATAAAGTTTCTAAAATGAAAAAAAATAACATGTTTCTATCAAGTCATTGTGTCATCTATGATTCGTTGTGCTAATAGTAATTAGACACTAATTTGAATGTTTGGCTAAAATAGAAACCATGTTTTGGTCATATATATTATTCCAGTTTAAGCTGACAATATTGTTCTCATACTTTCAAGAGGGATCAAACCAACACATGTGATGCCTACATGTAGCAGCAATGTATACAACATTAGTGAATTGAACGACTATTTAAAATGTATTTGTATGAGCTTAAGAGACACAAGCGAAGCTCGCAATCTTTTATCTGTCTTGTAGCGAGTGCAAATATGAATTACCTTTTCCTCAGAACATGTATTCTATACAAATGTTCCAGTCAATGAACCATGACTATGAGAGTATGGGCATATCATCACCATAGAAATAAGATATACCGCCAAATTTAATACCACTGCATACCAATCTTATCGTTAATGATTCCCTTTAAACTGACCTGATAAAAATATGTAAAATTTACCGTCAATAGACCCTTACTGAGGGAGTGGGGCCATTTAATCTCCATGAAAATAAGATGTACAAATTGTAATACAACTGCAGATCAAATATTATAATTCTATCTTAAACTAGCATAAACACAAACTAAAACAAATTAATGACGTCGCCGCCGCCGACCATGACACAAGAAACAGCATGCCAGAGTCCGATCTACGCGACTTCTTCAAATAAGAATTAACGAAATTATTACCTCGATTTAAAATGCATCTATTGATTGATTGAAGCCCAGTTCCAAATATTTTATGCCTATTCAAGACGAGAACAAATTAAGACTTAGCTTTCATAAATATTTTGAAATGGAAGCGTTTGAATACCACATGCAGCTCGTTGAAATTTAAACTGTTGCATTTTGATTTAATTCGTGCAACGAAAATGTTTGGTATAAATGTTTGTTGTGGGTATACATGAGAAAACAATATCATAAATACTTTTTTGACAATACTATTGTGTTAATAACAAATAGATTTAAAATCTTTAATGGAATTTTGGTTTAATTTTCGGATTGTAATAAATATAATACGGCAGGGAATATACTTCTTAAGGAGGGTGAGGTTTTAAACGAAGCAACTTAATAAAAATGGCCAGGTCGATATTACATGAAGGAAACGCATTAAATAATCGATGCCATTGACTATTAACTGTAAAATGGCAAATATTACAGTTATATCGGCTATGTTTAGTATCATATTTATTCATCATAAAGCATTGTTGATACGTGTTTTATGTATCAAAAGGAAAGTCTTTCTATACCAATGCAAATTTGCCTTTTATTTAACAAATACTCCCGGCTCACAATTTCGTACGCCAGAAGCGCGTTTCAACAAAAGGTTTATCAGTGACGCTTTAATAAAAACACCAAAAAGGCACAATAAAGTACGAAAATACAGACCCCAAATTTCGAAGGTTTTACAAATACAGTTAATGTAATAGTTTCCTGTGGTAGACAAACCTCAGTATTTCAAACAGTTCAAAGTTTTTTTTTAAACAGCTTATTTTATAAATTTGACCAGTTCAATAATGATCCAAATCAACACAGAAGTGATACTGATAAAAAAAGTCTGGATGAACTTTATTCGAGATCCTTAAATGATACATTTAAGACTGTTCAGAAATTCTCCGTTAAAAGAGTAAATGGTCAGCTTGATCTTATCATACAATCCCCGGATTAGTGGGGAGAATGTTGCGAAAATGAAGCAAGCCAATAACAAAATTAAATAAAAGAAATTAAAATTATAGACTGAAAATTCATTTTAAATATTTAAGGTGTGATTAGAGGGTACAACTTTATGAAAATGAAAGCAAACCAATAACAAAATTAAATTCTTTAAGGTTAATTTTAAGTTATCAACTATTACAATAAATGTTAACATGTTTGTGACATCAAGGAATCGATAATGGCGGCATTTGTGTTAAATTCATTATACAATGATTTTATGTTGCCAACAATTCTTTGAACTAGAAATTAAAAAATCGATTATGTGAAGTTCGATGACCTTAACTCTTGTTTTATAAAAATAAAAATGTCATAATTAAATATTGATAATAACTACAAGTAAAACATTATTGTATGTATATTGACATATAACATTTCAACATCTAATTAACATATGTTACGTCAAAATCCTTTGTTGTCGAAAATTTTCCAATCGAAAACAAAAAGATTCAATTCACAGTTTTGTTAACCTTATACTATATAACTATATGTTCAACATATAGTATAGTTACTGTAAATAATTTATCTAAAAGACTGATTTTTTTTTGTTCATGTGATATTTACCACTGAGTAAAAACCTTCAATACCCTTTTCACAAGTTAACTTGTTTAAGAACTAACTTCGATTGCCGCAAAACCAACTTGATTACGTCGGTAACTAAAAAAAGGACATGTTCATACAAATCATATTACAAATTCGTCAAAAGAAACATCAAATTTTATAAACGTTTGCATCGGATAGATATTTGAAGGACCATGTTATCAAAAGATCATATCTCGACACTGATGCATATTCAATTAGTTTTAGTTTTTTCCTTAATAAACTGTCAGCTTTTTGTGATAACGTGAATTAATTGACTCGACACATGTAATTGATCGACGACGAAATAATATGAACTCGAAATAGATACTACTTGGAATGGGCAATAACCGAAGCTAATTCCAAATACAGAACGTGTTTTTCTCTACCGAGAACATTCATGCGCATCCCTATATAAATGTACTTCCACAGTATATCAGTAAAGTGTTCATTTTGTATCGTTGAACTGTAAGTCGCTGTAAGTATGTACATAAACTATAATTTAAAGTAGATTTTTTAAATGCTAAATGTTTTCAACTGTGTACTTTTTTAAAAGTGTTTCGTTTTTCAAGGGGTTACGTTTCCTTCAAAGTGGTAAAGAAAACTTCCCCTGTATTTCACATCGAAATTTAGCATGCAGTTGAAATATATTGAAATTTGAATATTAAACAGACTAATTAATATTTGTACTACAGTAAATGTTTCAATTATCTCTAGGAGACCATTGGTGGTCTACACATTACTGGACTTACAATACATGCATTTCATGCATGAATGAATGTCATAATTTTATCATCTCTTACCAGATAGGTACAAGCAAAGTCAAGCAACAAACTATGAATTTTAAATACGTTTTGTTTATATTAATATTTTCAGGAAATTATGTCGATTATTCCATTGTTATGTCTTGTATTGGTTGCTTGTGCTTCCGCGCAAAATCATGACAACTTCGACGATGAAACAAATGATCTGGTCAAGAGAGGAAGATGTAAGTTTGATAACTATGAAGCTATATCATATTGCTTTTGAAATATTTGAAGTAACTTGTGGAACTCATTCTCTTGTACAGTACAATTGTTGAATTTTTATACTTTCTAACGATTTTTATTGTTTTTTTAAACTAATTATAGATATAAGGATTAAAAGTGTGGACGCCAGACGTGTGTTTCGTCTACAAAAGATTTACTTATTTGAATGTATTATACCGATTTAGTGATAGGATTTTACTTTTTGATTATGGTTTCTTCAATGGAATCTTTAAAAGTATCGTTAGTGGTATCTCTAAGCGCGATATATTTCAAATTTGCGTTATATCATTGACCGTAAAGCTTAAAAAATAAAATAAATAGAACTCATGAACATGGTCCTGCATGATATATAAGGTATTCTGATAAAACGTAACATGTCAGTATTTTCATTCAGAGTGTTCGCGAATCTAGAAGTTTTATAGGATTGTCATAATACAATAATTACTTTTCTTGTGAAGCAGAATTGCAAAACTAAATTTGGTCACTGATTTGCAGTATGGTGTTGCTCTGACGTTTTGAAATCATTGGTTTCTTCGTTTTTCCTTTGAAGCTGTGCATGAATCGTCACAGTCAACAACGACTTAGTATATTCGTTTATTTTTTTTTATGGTGGTTTTGATTCAAAATGTGAATGCTCTATCATCACATAACACCGTATTTCTATGCTCATTTGGTATTGTTATATCACATTTTTCAAATTTATTGCAGATAATGATACACTTTATTTCATTTTTACCATTTTACATATGTTTTTAATACTATTGATTTCATGTATAATGCTGTATTTTATTTTACTATTTATCCAAATAAATATTTATTTAGACTGTCTAACAACTGTTGATAAATGATAAACCTTGCCGAGTGTCAATTTGACATATGATATATTTTACATGTTTTAGGGACGCCAACTTTTCAGCACACAGGAGGTTTATCTGGAAACGTTGGAGCAAATTACAAATCTAATAAAGGTCATAATATCGGTGGATACGTTCATGGTAACTTAAACGGCCGAGGCCGGGTAATAGACGGTATGTACGAGTGGTATGCAATACATTTACCTAAATCACTGACGTAAAAACATAAAGTCTTCTCGTTTCAATCCATATACAATATCTGTGAAAGCAAAGAAAGTTGAAACATTTGTAAGAAATGAATTGTATTCAGTTTTATATTGATGATCATTGTTTATTATCGGGTCGTTCCCTTCTACTGTTTATACATGAGCTTTGTCGGATGGAAATCGACCTTATGCAAATGAATATAAATACATACGTTAGCTTATTTCGAGTTGAACAAATCTCTATGTTAATTATGTAACTGTTTGAAAATTGAGTTGATGTAAGAACCCTACAAAACAGACCAAACTTTATCTTTTATTTCGTATTTGAATGTTCCAAAATCAACATGTAAATGTATACATGCTCTTGCAAAAGGTCGATTTCCGTCCGACACAGCTCACATATACAGTGGATTTATCATTTTTCGTGGGGTACCAATTTTTGTGGGTTTCGTTGGTGTTGGTGAATTACGTAATTAATGTTCTACAAAGTACAGATTTTCTACAAGCTAGTTTTCAAACTTTGGAAAATCCACGAAATCAAATATCCATGAACATACAATTTTTCCTCAATCCACGAAAATGGGTACCTACGAAAATAGGGAATCCCCAGTAGATGAAAAAAGTATGCAAAACACTTAATGGAAATATTTTGTTCTCATTTTATTTTTTCTGAGTTTTGCTTTCAAGGCGCTGGTCTTCGCGGTAGTTATAATCTTGGAAACGGAATGCGTATTGGTGGACATATTCATCATAATTTTGGGGGAGGAACAGGAGGTAAGATTGTTAGAAATTACATCTAAATACACATGAGAATGAAGTGGGAATTCATTCAAAACAATGCAGCTCGTTACTACACTCTTTAAAAGTCTTTGACACTGAAGACAGTGTACTCTTCTGCTGCATAAATACTTACATGTATACTGACTCTCAAGTAATATTTTAAGTTTTTAAGCATTTTTGTTATTCATTTTGTTATTATGTAATATTGCAACGGAGTATAAGAGTGCATTTTTATAAAAAATATTATCGAAGAAGGTGCTGTTTTTATTGAGATGGTCATAAATGAGTTTATCCCATTTCCCTTTAATTCTCATCACTGACGCTCGAATCAAAACATTTAAAAAAGACTAAATAAAGTTCGAAGTTGAAGAGCATTGAGGATTTAAAATTCCGATAGGTTTTGTCAAATATAGCTTATGTAATATATTCCTATAATGAACTGCACCAAAATTTTAGACACAGAAAAAGAGAAGAAAGCCAAAGGATTCGGCTCTTATAATATATGATTATAAGCCTATTATCATACTAACAAATGACCTGGTCGTATTATAATCACACTGAAGCGGTCATATAATAAACACACGGAGACGGTCGTATAATAAACACATTGAAATGATCGTACAATAACCACACTGAAACCGTCTTATAATAAACACAAACTTAAACGGTCATTTGATAAACACACTGAAACAGTCTTATACTGAAAACAACAGAATTACAATCAGTTTGAAAGTATAAAGTGTATTCAAATAAATATATTGTAAACTAAACTAACAATTACACTTTGTTCAAAGGTGGAATTTCATTCTCGAAGTCCTGGGGTAAAAAGAGATCCTCAACTGTCTGCATGTCAAGATGTGCCTATGCTTGCAGAAATTCAACGGTTAGATGTATGAAGAACTGTCTTGTGAATATGTGCTGATATGATCTCTAGTGCTGTGTTATGAAATAAAGAGTAACTGTATCCATCATCATGTCTTTGTCTGTATGCATGAAAATAAAAAAAAAAGTTCAACACGATTTTTACCCCAATAGAGTAGCAACTTACCACTTATACTTATAGTTTGTTATTAAATGCAGAGTAATTTCTTTATTGTATTTGGTCTTTGCATGACAACAACCAAAAGAGTAGCAACTGTTTACCCAAATAGTAATTTCTATCTTGTATTAAGTCTTTGCATATCTGTATGGAAATTAAAAAAGTCCAAAACGAGTAGTAACTGAATAACCAAAGAGTTCGAAACGTACCAACATGAATCTCGCAAGTTCCAAATACAATCGTTTATCAAGATTGCATATAATTTGACCAAACATTTCAACAATAGAAAACTGTGTTCTGTATAAATTTCTCTCATATGACAATCATATATAACTATAAGGAGATGTAGCATCATCGTTAATGAGTCCAAAATACGTGAATGTTAGCAACTGCAGGTCACCGTACGGCATCCTGACATGAGCAAAACCCATAAGATAAGCTATAGAAGGTCCCGACATGACAAATGTAAAACAAGGCCTATTATATGTACAAAACAATAAACGAAAACAAAAAATACGATAGACAGCGACTTTCGACTAACACTGAATGAATGTCTTCTAGCTTGGGACAGACACATACATGATGAGGCAATGTTATAACTTAATATAAGAATAAGGAGATGTGGTATGATTGCCAATGAAACAACTATCCAACAAAAGTTGAAATGAAGTGGATTTTGATATTCAACCGTACGACCTTCAACAATGAGAAAAAAAATTACCGTAAAGTCGGATATAAAAGGCCCTGATATGAAAAATATGACACAATTTGATAGAGAAAATTATTAAAGATAGTTTCTAGTGCTCAAACTCTCCCTAACTTGGGAAATTGTTATTACAGCACAACATAATAACAAACTGTTAAAATCAGTCGGAAACGTCTGTTTGGCCATGTGATGCATGATATATATAGATAATGTCATTGTGTGTTTGTCTTTGAAATACACCCAGCATATTGATTTATTCACTTCTATGTCTTCATTCTCCCATGTTTTGTTTGCTAACATCGAACATGTTTTCGAAGACTGTCACACATTGTATTATTTTTGAAAGTCTTTCTTACTTCAATTTTTCGCGTTATGAACTTTCCATTTCTATGTAACTATTGAAATTATAGTTTTACGTATCTCCCAGTTGATACAATACTTTTTTATCATGATTTCAATAATAGAGAGCTGCTGTCTATATATATGTATATATAAAAAAGAAGATGTGGTGTGATTGCCAATGAGACAACTCTCCACAAGAGACCAAATGACACAGAAATTAACAACTAGTCACCGTACGGCCTTCAACAATGAGCAAAGCCCATACCGCACAATCAGCTATAAAAGGCCTCGAAATGACAATGTAAAACAATTCAAACGAGAAAACTAACGGCCTAATGTATGTACAAAAAATGAACGAAAAACAAATATGTAACACATAAACAAACGACAACCTCTGAATTACAGGCTCCTGACTTGGGACAGGCACATACATACAGAATGTGGCGGGGTTAATCATGTTATGTCCATTTAGGGTGGATAGACGTTCAATTGTTCTCTGTCCAATTGGTTTTAAAAACATTTTCTTCCGCCTAATGTTTTTCTCGAGCTGTTTTGTTTTTTTTCAAATTAGGTCGTTTATATATTTGATTATGATATTGAACAGTTATGGAGCTTTTCAAACTGACAACGCTAAACCGAACACATTTCCTTGTAGGACCTATCTCCTCAAACACTGTTTTTTTTCTTTTTATGACTACTTTCTCCCAACAGTAAAAGAAACGGATACATTTGTTTTTCCAAATTGCTCGTTATATCCTCAGAGTTTTACGTATAATAATGACCGAAGCTTTCCCGGGACTCCATATGAGAGTAAATTCCCCTTTTTTATTTGAAATAAGTGAAATGTAATTGTAACTGGTAAACCAAAAGTTATAGAGATCTAGGGTCGTTTGATTTGATGTCCCTGGTCCACCAAAAAAAAGTCAAAGGTCAAGGTCAAGTTCTAATTTTTGATTTTGGATAATTATTGCTTCTCTTCACAAACCGTACAAAATATCGACCAAATATTTTTTACTAAACGGTGAGTTGCAACATTTCGTTACGTTTTGGTATAAAAGGTGCGTTGACATTTAATGAGAGTTTCGTCCCCTGTAATCTTTTAATTGAGCTGTATTGTGAAAAAAAAAACCTCATCAACCATGTATAGTAAAGACATCGGGTCTCTTGATTCGAGGTCCTTGCTCTATGACCTTGCAATTGAGGTAAAGGACAAAAGTAAATTTGATGTTCTAGATTTTGACGAATGATATAAATTTATATTGATATATGATAAAACCATAAGGTCTTTTGTATTTGGTAGGAAAACATATGACCTTGAAAAAGTCTACCAGAAATGACCGTAAAAACTGGAAGTAGCAATTTTTTGGCATGAATTAAATGTATAAGTATCTTGAACCATATATTGTTGGGATCAATGTCAAGTCACCTATTATATGATACCGGTAGTGATATTTTCCAACTTGAAGTATAAATTATCTCCCTTATTTTAAGCAAAGAAGTAAAGACACCATAGTTTATTTTAGAATCATCTTTCAGTAAGCTATCATCTGATACCAGAAATGACATTTTCAACACTAAGCAATATCTTCATATCAAAATATGTCCATTTGAGGTGGGAAGACCTTCAATTGTTGTAAGATCTTGAAAAAGTCCACCAGAATAGACAGTAAAAAAACGAGAGTAGCAATTTGTTTGCATAAATTAAATGTATAAGTATCTAGAACCATATATTGAGGTCATTGGTCCACCAAAATAAAAGTGAGGTCAAGGTCAAAGGTCATGTTTTAAATTTTGATTTTATTGTTTCTTCTAAGAAACTATACAAGATAGCGACAAAATATTTTAGATAAACCGTTAGCTGTTACATGTCTTAACATATATATTTTGGTTAAAAGGTTTCGTCGAAATTTAATAGGAGTTTCCTCCCTTCTTTTGTTTGAAATTAGCAATATTGAAACTCATTAACTATATACAGAAGGGACTAAGAGTCATTTGATTTGAGGTTCTTACTTTTGAAATTTAGGTCAAGGTCAAAAACAAATTTGACATTTTGTTTTGAGCTTTGCAATAAATTCACATTAATAGGTGATAAATCTATGGGGTCTTTTGCATAAGGTTGGTAGACACATTACGTTGAAAAGGTCAGCCGAAAGTGATAAGATATCGACAAAATATTTTTACTAAATGTTTAGTTACGATATGTTGCAACACATGTACTTTGGTTGAAAGGGTACGTTGACACTTTCTCCCCTCTTATATTTTGATTAGCTGTATGGTGAGAGCGAAGCTCGAATCCTCATATGGAATTTACTGACCCCATATATATCGTATTAGGTCACTAGCACACCGTGTAACGAATTCATCTTATCGACTATCTTCCCATGTGGTATTAAGACTAGCAGCCTATCAAAGTGATTTAAAAGACTTCAATACTTAATTTTAACATGTTTAAGAACCTACTTCCATTTATCTGTACAAAAAACAAATGCCAACAATAACAACGTGTTAGCTTTAAATTTGTTTTATGAATGTATTTCAATCGTTTATTACCAGTTTCTTCGTCTGTTTATTAATAAACCTTTCAGATGTCATTTTTGTTTTAAAAGGGAAATAACCCCTTACTAACCCCATATGGTTGCTAACCGTATATGGTAACTTACCATGTATTTTTTAGGACACCCTATATGAAATATATATATGGTCACCACGTGTAGTCGATTAACCAATCATATCCCCATAAATCTATAGAAGGTAATATTAATGGGGTCAGTAAATTCCATATGGGTATTCGAGCTTTGCTCTCACCCCATTTGGAATTTACAGACCCCATATATATCGTATTAGGTCACTAGCACACTATGTAACGAATTTATCTTACCGACTATCTTAACATGTGATATTTAGACAAGTGGCCTATCAAAGTGATCAAATCTTCAATACCGTTAGTATTAAGAACCTACTTCCATTGTTCTATACAAAAACAAATACCAATAATAACAACTTATTAGCTTTAAACGTGTTTTATGAATTTATTTCAATCGTTTATCATCAATTTCTTCGTTTGTTGAAACCTTTCAGATTTTTCCTCCACACCGTGTTGATTTTGTAAAGGGACGTTACACCACTACTAACCGTGTATTGAAATAAACCCCGCCTACTAACCTAATATGGAACCCTACTACCTAATATGGAATATACATGGTCTCCACGCGGTTGCATTTAACCAATTATATTCCTAGAAATATACAAGAGGCAAGATAAGTCGCAATACATACAATTTGTTTGAAAGGTAACGTATCCCCTCTTATATTTGACATTACAAAATGTAGCTGCATGGTGATATAACTCATTGACAATATAAAGGAGAGACCTATGGTATTTTCATTTTAGGTTCTTATTGTATGGCCTTGAAATTTAGGTCAATGTCAAAGTTTAATTGGACGTTCTAGATTTTGACCTTTGAGATAAATTCATATTTATACATGATAAAGCTATGGCGTCTACTGCATTAGGTTGTTAGATCACCTTGAAATGTTAAGTCGGAATGATCTTTTGTAAAACGGAGGCTGCAATGTATCTCCCTTATTTCAAGCAAAGTATAGAAACCATATATTTTTGAATCAGTATGACAGGAGCTATCATATGAAACCGGGAAGGACATATTTTAAACAGGAAGCATCAAATGATATCCCTTATTTCAGACATTGATGACACATGTACTTATGTTGCTATTCTATGGAACGAAACTTGTTCTTATATCTTGAAATCTTTATTTTAGGGCAGATAACTTTTGAACACACTGGAGGAGCATCAGGCAAATTTGCAGCTAATCGTCATTTTGAAAATGGCTCTATTAGTATATTGGTGATAGTATCTATAACTTG